AACTATCGACAAGTAACGGTGTTGTGTTTGAAAAACATTTTATAAATTGCAAAAATCTCAAAAGGAATGCTATTTGATGATTCACTCTAATTTACATTACTGTCTGGACATAAATCAACTCTTATTATATGTTTTGAGTGTATAATAAAATAAAGCCGGTTGCTGATTATTAGTGTAAGCATGTACCTCTATATAGATACATTCCTACATATATAGGCATCGATCAATCTGTTACTTAGTGGACATTATTTTCGGTAAACATAGGTCCGAAACGGTTTCGATCGATGTGCTCAGGGCGATGCAAATTGCGTCGCCTGTTATCGGTGCACTTTATCCGGGGTACTTTTGTGCATATTTTACATATATTTGTGGGGATGCGGCCGATAGCCGGTGTGGGCGGACCCAGCGGCCGCATGCTAATGCACGCGGTTAACGTGCCAGCACAGACTTGGACTTAGGCAAATTAAACATTAAAATCTTAGTACTGAATGAGTCGTTCTTTCTCTGCTGTCTTAGATTTATAAATATGTGCGTTTAATTTTACAATATATCGGCACCTAGTTAACATTTATGAAGTGCACATGTTGAAAAATATGCAATCATGAATAATACTTCTGTTCAGTACATGAATGCACTTCCAAGTCATTTTCATATCTAAATATCGTTCGAAGAGACATAGATCAAACGCGTAATGCATAGGCACAAAATAAATAGAGGCAATAAAGATGAGTATCGCGTCTCTCGGCCACTAATCTCTGACACCATAACATAATTGTGCAGAGTCCCGGGGGGATAGCGGCCTCGCTGCGGTCACGAAGTGCTCTAAACATAGAGTCTAGCCCTAAACGATGCCACCATATCCGTCGGCGGACAACATCCACTCATAAGTTCGTGTAGCCTCAGCCTCACGGGCTCTCGGCTCTCGGCTCACGGCCAGTGCCTACTACATAGTCACCATACCTTCACAACTACTACTACACACTGTATTTTCCAACGGTACTGAAGATTTGTCCAATGTTTTACAGCGCGATGTGCGCTTTACAATGTCTTACAATGTTTAGATACCTGTGCAACAATAGGCAATCCAAGTAGGTACCTACATGTTTATTATTTTATCATGCGGAAAATTAATTATTGTTCAAGACTTTTTGTAATGTTAGGTACTATTTGCTATTAAGTTTGAATATTGACAATACATATACTTTAAAAAACTTTTTTTAAATTTGTAATTCAATTTCCTTATAAATTCGATCTCGAGCACCTTGTATCCTTAATCTGTTAATAATTCCAAAGATATAAACTAGTTGAGTGAAATTAAATAATCCATATTTATGTACGTGGCAGAATGTCAATAAAAGTCAGTTGGTCAGTAATGAATAGTAAGTATGCTGGTAGATGGGCGCCTGACATTTCAGTTGGCGACGATAATAAGAACCAATAGCTTTTTTACCGCAAGATAAAGTCGAAGAATATGTTAATATTTTTATTCGCATTTATACTTGTACATCGTTATGATCTAGTTACATTCATAGCCAAGCAGATCGGTATCTTCGACTGTCTAGATTTTATTTTTATTTGTAGCCAACGAGTGAGTACCAAACGTGCCTACCTACTTCAGAGTGACGTAGATGAAACAGTTCTGAAGAGAAATTGCATTAAAAAATGGAATGAGGTAATAAAGGTAGTGACGTAAAATTTGGAGGTAAACGACTTGAATGATTGATGTTTGTAAAATTACCTACACTGTTTCAAAAACGTCAGAGTTGTGTGGTCATCCTTCAGACGATAAGGTTCACATTCGCCTCAACATATTTCGTAATTACGTGAAAAATTTTAATGTTACATTAATAAAGGAAATGATATTGCATTGTAAATGTGTAAGATAGGTCGTAATTTATGGCCCTCAATATATCCACTATATGCAAAAGGGCTTTAAACGTACAGTTATCGAGTGCAATTTCAAGTTTCAAACTAAATAGGGAAATCGTAGGAATGTAAACTGGCAATAGTTTTTCTCCGTACTCGCGTACAAGGCTTGAATTAGACAAATAGCAGTCATTTATCGTTTTCTACACGTAATTTCCATTTCAATAATAATCTATGTAAGTTATAGCGCGGATAAATCAAGTTCATAATCGCCATCGTGCGACCGATGTGTTGGCGCTCAACCGAAAATTACAGAAAACGTTAATATGATTTATTTTTTATTCGTTATCTGCTTTACAATACAATATAATCTTATTGCTAAATGAGTAGTTATTAAAAAAATCTGAAAATAAAAATTTAAACATAAGTACTATTTGTACTGTACTACTGATGCAGCTTGGGAGCTATAAGAAAAGGCTTGGATTCAAGCTATAAATGGTCAATCTTTGACGTCACTAGGCGCTATTGTTATGTTAAGCTCAACCTGTTCTTACTGTACTTGTCTGATACCGTCTTCGAATACTCCTCATGAGCATTGCGCACGTCGTATGGGAACATACCGTATTTTTATCAACAACGGAAACATTCAGCTCTTAGCACTTACATCCAATGGCGGCGTACGTTTTCCTAAATTATGATAATTGCACGTGTTCTTGTTGAATCCAGTGATTACTGAACTCGTAGATGTCACTACATAAGAATCTTAATGATATTTCAACTAAGTATTATGTAAATGATATTACAATTTATTTTCGTAATAGATTCTATCCCGATAAGATGTTCGAGTTTTGATATTGTCAATTTTTTATGTCTATTAAATGCGGGTCATTATTCAACACATACGCTACAAGGAAACATTCAATATTTCTTATTAATCTAGTAGCGAACCGCAATCAATTATCGAAACTTGACTAATCGACGATCCCAATAAACCGACGTACTGTCATTTCTCTTCCCTTAATCGATTACTTCAAACATGAACTCTAGGGGGTCCACTAGCGCTCAGACGAGCTACGCCGCGCCGTACAGAGGACGCGGCCCCATCGCCGTCGCGTACCTAACCTTTTTGTCCATAATAAATCTTTTTAGTCTTTTTGTTGTGAAGTATGTAGCGCTTGCCTGTTCAACCGTTCGTTGTTTATGCTCGCTACACGCCACTGCCGACACCGGTCAACAGTCATATTTTGCTATCTCATACAATTTAATATACTGTTTGATTTTATAACACTTTACACAGTTTATGTACGAGCTGCCAGCTGTCAAGTGTTGGCCCGCTGAGGGAGCTGCGACCGTCAATAACACAATTAGTTATACAAACGTTGTCATTTCCGTATTATATTGCCTCCATTCAGAAATTAATAAAGCTGCTGTGAATTTGTATGGTAACTACTATAAAGTTAATATTTACAATCGATCCCTACGGTTCTCATGCATTCTCATTTCGTGAACAATAAATTTTATTAACACGTTCCAATCGATTTCCTTGAGAGGTTTAAATGTAAAATCACACAATCAACGTTAATTGCTGCTTCTCTTACGTGCCATATCGTAGGCGTCAGGGCAGGCACTATGGAGTCTGATCAAGACGGTGCCCTCATCCAGATACAAAGAAAAGATTGAGTCATCATAACAAATGCACAGCCTGTCCTCAGTGGCGCGGCTCGGCGGCCGAGGGCAGGGAACTCTCTACAATCGGCCTCTTCTTATCTGTGACGGCTCCGATCATTGTGTCCCGAATACTTCGTGCTCCACAGTACGAATGACGAAATGCTGCTACGTTTTAGTCTTTTACTTTTCTCTGTCTTCGTTGACTTGTCGAGTTCTTTTCGAACTGTTTTTTGTAAATGTTCAATCGCTACGCTTGTAAAGCTTGCTCTGACTTCGTAAATCTTATCTAATTCATCGCATCAAGTGAGAATTAAACACCTTGTACCTACCTTCGTCTTCAGATCACTAAGTAAAAAATAGTAACTGTACGATCTTAAGAAAGAATCATTGGTTCAGTACCTACTCACCATAACTCAAATAAAAACTGTGTCTATCAAGTATTCATTAATGTTGATCAATAAATACGTAATTATGTTCTGATGTAATCAATCTTTGCAAAATATTCAAACAAAAACTCATCAAAATACACCTTAAAAATGAAGAATGAAAAAATGGGACCCACCGAAAGAGGTAAAAAAGTTTAAATTACAAAAAAGGAACAAACACTACTCCATTAATCATATTGATGAATGCACTTAGTATCACAGATACTAACATCGAATGCGATGCATCCTACTCAGAACATTATTTTTGATTTTCTTTCAATTCAACCCTTTCAAGTTGTCCGAAATATTTTAATAATGCCGCATACACTCTCCTGTTACATTTTGGAAAATGAAACATCACGTAATGATGTTTCGAATCGCGCAGGTTTGATTGAGGCGACGGTTTAATTAACACGACGATCAGTCATTTCTTGTTGTATAATTATTTAGGTTGAAAAGGTTACTGGTAATGATGATAGGTGTATTTGTTACTGCATGCAAACGGTATTGTGTCATAAGGAAGATTAGCACGGAAACGATGTTGCCCAATTTTCGTATAGGTATCTTGACATAAAATTATTATTATTTATCGATGTTGAAGTATATGAAGCTAAAGGGCCACAGGCGTATTTTGTCAACCCGTCCGGCTGTCGCATCGGGCAAGACAGGCGGATGGTCGGCGGTCAACCCAGTCACACATTTGTCGAGCCACTCGCTCGCTGGCTGCATTTTTAGAATTATTAATTTGGTTCGTGTTCTTATACTGTGTTAAAGTGGCCGATTTTGTGCCAACCTCATAAATAAAACATCACCAGACTTCTCGTGCGACTGTTTTATAGGAGTCGACGGTTGCTTAAATACTTTATTATTAAGTTGCATTGTTTTACTTTAAAAGGCATTGTTTTTGTAATACGGCAAATGAAAGACGTCATGATTGAGAAAGTCATGAACTTTCCATAATTAATTATTTAACTAAAATTATTAGAAGTCACGTGTACCATCGGCATATCTAACTTTAAAATTTTAATTTAAGGACAGGCTCACATCTAAAGAAATAAACATTAAATAACTTTTTATTTATTTTTTACAGGTGGAAGTTGTAATCCTGGACAAAAATGACAGTCCTCCGGAGTTCAAGAACATGCCCGCTGCGTATCTGGCGTCAGAAGATATGGCTCCGGGTCAGCGGATAGCGACTATCGCAGCCGAAGACCCGGACACCATCGGCAGCATCACGTACAGTATCCAAAACGACGAACCACACCATTTTCTTTGGACCCTCAAACCGGACTGTTGACTCTAAAAGATCCTTTGGACAGAGAAACGACTTCTGAGTACCAGGTGATCGTGAGAGCAGACGACGGGGTCCAGTTCACGGACGTAACTGTTGTTGTTCAGGTTTGTTGTTTTTTATACGAGAAACTCGAATTACGTACAGTCGTAATAAAGATACTTAGATCTTGTAACATAAGGCGTACACTCATTAACAGAAGCACGTTCACGGTTTATGTCGAATGTCATGAACTTGTTCTGGAAATAATACAGAAATATTCAGTGTCACAAATACTCATGAGAAAAATTATTGAAAGCATGTTAAAAGAACATCTTTATAAAAAATTCTTATCGAAGATGAAGTTTTGACTATTTACATATGTATACTATAAGACCCAATAATACAAATAATCCCTGCTGTGGAATATATCGCTATATGATTTCAAATTATCACTATAATAAAAATTTAAACGTAATGTATTAGTAAGTCGTAACAGTTTTGTTACTGCATGTACATGGGTCCAAACATCAGTATGTCGGTCCATTGCCGCGTCGGCTCAAATCAGTAGAGCTCTTATCTAGCGTGGCGTCTACATCCACTTGTCTGTCCGATGGATGACCACCGATTAACTTATCATTCAGCCTCTTCCATACTGTTTACGATATCTAACACTTTTCTGCATTTGCTTTATGTCTTTTTATCTTGACTTAGTATATTTTAATTGTTAAGCATATTTATTTAGTAACATTTCTATGTTTTAATGTCGCTTTCAGGTCACAGACACGAACGACAACCCGCCAGTTTTCAAAGAAAGTGCCTACTCTTTCGATATTCCCGAAAATGCTGCGAGAGGTTCTGTAGTGGGCACCGTTGCGGCCATTGACCTCGATTCAGGACCCAATGCCCAGCTCACTTACACCGTCATATCAGACTGGGCAAATGACGTGTTCTCGCTCAACCCTCAGACAGGGGTGTTTACTTTGACCGCTAGACTGGATTACGAAGAGGTAAGTTTAACCTAGAATTTCAACTTCTTGTTAGACTTTTTTCACTATACACTGCATAAAACTTTTTGGAATTTATGGTCGATTGAACCTAAAGACATATTTACGAGTACTCATTAGCAGAGTAACGGTTAATCTTTTTATTAGAAAACTCACAACAGCAGCTCCGCTGTAGCACCGCAAAGGAAAAAAACTCCAAAGATAAGACTGAGATTAAGGTCACGTACAAAGTACGTTACGCATGCTCATTGCTCAAGTCTCGATGAACCGAACCGAAAATAAAATGACAGCAAATGTTAATTGGGCTTTAAAACGATTTAGTAGTAAATATACATTGACAATAACCTCACAGCGGGCATACGGCTGCACTGAGATACGGAGGCAACAGTTTAAAACACTCGTAAAGTGGCACGACATCGTCGTAAAAACGGACGAAATGTGCAATTAAAAACACTTAAAATAGATTAAGTGATTACCGTGGAAAACATTTGCGAACAATCAAGAAACAAAACTGATTCAATGCACTTCTAGACCTTGGCATATTGGGCTCGATATACAAAACTGTATTTTAAGTAGCCTATTTACAACTTGAGCGAATAATATTTTCCGAAATCTATCCTGTAATTTGAGTCGTATTGACAAGGCCTCAAGATTGCATTTACCTAGATGGTTTGGCTTAAGTTGCCCGCCCTTCCATGTACTAAAATAGTCTGATTGATTCCAATCCAATCGTTGATTGCTCGTCGGCAATAAATAACAATTGTATCAAGTAGATGTTATTGTATTCAAGACTTTTATTTTGATACATTTGCTTGTGTAAATACGGAATTAATTAAAGCTTAATTAATTGTGTCGGTAAACTGTACTTATAAGTTCGGTAGCGAAGACTTGCGACCTACGCTCTTGAAGGGATAATCAATTTAATCTGCATTCGTTTAAGTTTTTTCGTACAGGACGATGTCTGCTTGTTAAGAAAAGTGCTCAATATTTTATTAATGGTAGATACCTTTTTTTTTTATGAATGTTGCAATGTTGGTAAAGTAAATACTTGGCAGTGTGTCCAAATTTACGAAGACATTGTAGAAACATGGTTCACCTGAAAGGTTTGTTTTAGAAAATATTTTTTAAGTCATATCGACAACTTTTGAACTTTAATATCATAGTTAAAGCTTACTCAATCTCTCAAAGAGTCCAATACTAATATATAGATTCCAATATTAATAAGTATAATTTTACGATTCCTCTATCGAATACATAGTTGTATTTACATGATCTCCAAATTAACTCTGTAGTAACTGCGGACACACATCAAAAGCCTTTCGCAAATATTCCCAGCACCCCCGGCAATAGTAACTCGCAATTTAAATTATGATTAGTTGAGATGAGTATCAATGTTTGCCGTTTATAGCAACATTATTTTTTATCAAATTACTAAGAAATAAAGATCATATCTGTGTTCGTCTACTTGAGTATAATTTACGACTACAACACGGACCGACGGTTGGGAGTTAAAATCATAAACTTTGTCTGCGCCCAACATTGTTGAAAGCTTTGTATGGGTGCAAATGAGTTGCACCGTAGCCCTAGTATAATAAAATATAAATATTTTCATCTGCATATTCCATACAACAATATTGAAAATTGACGCCTCGTTGATGAGGCCTTCGTTGTATGGCGGGAAACGGAACCATTACTTTGTGGTTAACCGTGATGAGGCTGAGCTTCTAATGTATGTGTTAATTATTATTTAAAGATGGCGTATTTTGGAAGGAATTTGTGATTGTTTGTTGGTGTACTTTCATGTTTTGGTATACGTATAAGTCGGGAAGTGGTAAAATAAAGAAAACAACATCACAATAAATTGATTATTACAAGAATTAACTACTTATCATAAAATATCTAAAATATGTTTCGTTTCTTTATATTGGAAGTAGTAAAGAAGTAAATTTATTTTTCAATACATACATAGGTAAATTCAGAACATGACTAGGTTCCTGCATTGGTTTTCTCCGATATCTTTTACATCGTTTACGGTTGGAATATTTTCTAACAATTTTATGTAGCTTGCAATTTTTAAATAGTTAACTATTTAAAGTGTTTTGTACCGATTCACATGTACCAGCCCCTTACTGCTCGCGGCCATACATTGCGGTTGAAAGAATTATCGTAACATAGATCTTGATGAGGGCATTGACCGCTCGGCATCTTAACGACGTCACTTTTTTAAGTACTTCTAAATAAGATTATTAGTTCAGTTATTGTTAATAGGATACGCGCTAATCCAAAGTTTACATCTCACATAAAATGTTTTAAAGCTTTTGGTAGGTCATAAAATTTTGAACAGGTTACACTAGAAATCGTAGTTTATACCTAATAATAATGTCAATTTTGAGTTAAAGGTACTAAAATGATCAAGAATGTTTTTATATGTTTATGTCTATCATAATAGTACGCTGAAAGTACTCATTTAGTAGTTTTAATTCAAGACTCTTTAAAAGAAAGTATTTTTCGTTCGCTCTTTCTTCACATAAAATCTTGCTCGGTAGACATGGCGACGAAGCGCTTCAGTTGACCGGTTAGATTTCAGAACACCTGTCGCCTGAGCTTTAAGTTATAAAACACATAAGAGGCTGCTTGCGGCTAATTATAAATAAATTACCCTTTTCAGTTTAACTTTAATTTATGATAAGCTATTCCACATTTATCAGTTTATCTCAATGATAATCTTCATGCCAGTAGTGCACAGACAAGGTATATACAGGACATTAATGTATTTTCGCAAAAATAAAGCACTACTACACAAAATTTATTATGAACCATGAAAAATATTGCATGTTGTAGGTAATATACGCAATTTAAGTATGAAGGACAATTTTGCCTTCAGGCTGGTAAGTAGGATCGCATTGTAGGTATTTAATATGAAGCGAGTCCGGTCCGCCCAATAATTGGCATGCCTACCTATCTACTGCATTATTATTCGTATGTCCAAAATACAATGTAGTTTGGATGTTCTTAAATGAGTAATTTATTCACAATACTCATACCATAGTGGCGTGAATAATCACAATTCTAGAAAGACTGGAACAAATAGCATCTAATACTACGTGTATCTGCGTCCATCTGCATAGCTATAAAATATTGAAAAAGTAATTGCAGTAGATAATACCTATTTATTTATCGTACTTCGCACTTTATTGAAGCAATTAAATAATGGACGGCTTATAGCATTTTTGAAACATTAAAAGAATTCATAAAATGAAACGGTGTGATTAAAATACTATGTAACTGAGTGAAGGTATTTATCGATAAATTAATCGTAGAGGTTAACAAAACTGTAAAGCCTTATATTGTTTTATTTTTCATATTGTCTGTTGCCCGCGACTTCATTCGCGTAGAATATAATTCCTATTTTATCCCATAGAAACATTTAAATAGGATAAAAATCTTATCGCCTAAGCCCATACCCTGACTGTATACCAAATTTCATCCAAATCCGTTCAGTAGTTTCATCGTGATTGACGAACATTAAACATCGAAACAAAGAAAATTACCTACACATTTATAATATTATTAGTGTGATACATAGTAGGTAGGTACCTATTGTTTTAGTAATCAAAAATAGGTACATATGTTTGTTTTAGATTTACGTACAAACTAATGAGACGACGACAATGCGATTACATATATTAACGTAGGAGTCAGCAGCTATCCAAATCCTCCACATACACATGTTAACTGAACAATCATAAAAAGTTAGTGATTGAACAAAGCATGCCTGAAACTTATGACTGTGTTATATGCACCAAGTTTTTTCTTTCCTCGAGCCGAGCTAAAGCCTATTTAACATGTTTTTGCGGCAACTCGACGTAACCACCTTATTGTGCTCATCAATGCTGTAGTAAAATGACAAACAAGTCGTTAAATTTTCTATGGACATAAATCAAAGGTCGCGTTGTAATTTTTCGGTATAAGTAGAAGATAATTTTATATTTATGTGCAATATTCCTGAAGTATTTTCTAACAAGTCCATATTTACTGCGCAGTCTGTAAGGTCACTGAGGTATAACACAGGCGTTAGATATACCTGCCTACATTATCAGATTGTTTAAGTTTTTCTAGTCAAACTTAGTATTTTTTATAAAACATAACCTATCCCTGTTAATTAATAAAACAGTTTATAACCTACAGATATTTTACGAGTGTCTTCAATTTTTATAGAAAGGACTCACTGGTTTATAATTTGAAACACTGTTTTTGTGTTTAATTTAATAAGTGGTTATAATGATAATTCAATTCCGTACTTGATTATTCGCGTTATCAATATTCAAGATCGAGATGTCAGTCACTAGGTAGCCTACTTAGCTCCCGTGGAGTCCCCGTAACATTAACAACGTAGCATACACTTTTTGAGTCCTGTGCTGCAAGAAACTCGTTCCATTGTTTTTAAAACCGATCTTCTGGCTCTGTGCGTGGTGCATTGTGGTTGGGTCCGGGTGCATAAGGTCTCCGCGCGGTACATAAGGGCGGTGTTCGCGAGCCTTCCGCGCCGCACTGGACTCATCAAGTCGGCCGGCCCCGCTAATTAGTAAAAACAATTCGCTGGGTACATTCGTTCTCTCGACCGCCCGCCAATTCCGCGTACCCCGCTAGAGAGCTGCTAATTTCATCCCGGTACAGTTTTTTCGCGTCGCGCATCATATTCGGCATTTGCCCGCTCGATCCGCCATCGAAATTAAGGCTCGAACAATGTCTGACAAAGCGGCCGTCCGCAAAACATCCCCGAGCCGGATTCCGCGACCACTACTTGTTTTTTAAATCGCCATCTCGCTCCACGATCCGCGAATGAGGGAGCTTGTCATAGCTGGGAAGCTTTGGTGTCCTATATTATATGGAAAATCTGAATGCCGCCGTCATTCGTAAAATGTTACCGTCGTACTTCCAGTAATGCTTTGTTTTATAGTTCAGGCTTTCTTGATGTTATTTTAGTAACTAACCATAATTGTACTTTATTAACTTAATTAAACGTCATGATTACGACTGGTTCTCATTAATAGATCGGTGATCACAGATTTCAATAGATAATTAGTACTTATTTGACTTAAGAGTATTTTTACTTTTTACATAAAATATGAAAGACCAGCATGGGGTCCAGCGTTGGATATTATTAATAATTAAATTTATATATTTCATTATCGCAATTTTGAATTACCTTATTGAAATTTTAATGGAATTAATTAAAGAGCACGAAGAGTTTAGTAGGGTGAACAAGATACTATTTATTAAATTACGTGTAGTGACAAATACACCCAATTAATCTAGAAATAATGTCATTCATAAGAAAATATTTTTTTCAGACTCAACACTACATTTTAGTGGCACAAGCTCAGGACAATGGTCACCCATCACTATCAGGTACTGTGACCGTCTACGTCAACGTCATCGATTTGAACGATAATGCTCCGATATTTGATCCCATGAGCTTTTCGAATGAAATCCTAGAGGACGTCCCTATTGGTTCTTCAGTGGTCACCATCAGCGCTACTGACTTAGACTCAGGTTTGTAGACATTTCTTTTTTAACTTCCTCACACTAGTTTTCTCTCCTGTGTACTTGGTGTGTTTAACAAATTCATAATTAAAGACATTAAAGGCCTTTGTCAAATTGCACATCAATCAGCAATTAACTGACTTTTTGTTTTTAATGCTACGTAGGATAAGGACAGGTAAGACAATTACTTTTTGTAGGCTTGTCATTGAAAAATCTTGTGCTAAAAAGACTGATCTTGCAACTTACAGGTCTGAATGGCAAAGTGACATACAGCATCAGCTCTGGTGATGAAGGTCAGGACTTCAGTATTGCTGAGAACGGTACAATATACACAGCAAAACTGTTGGACAGAGAAACACTACCAATCTACAACCTCGTTGTCACTGCTAAAGATATGGCTATACCTCCTGAACCTCAACTATCTTCTACAGTACAGGTAAAAAATATTTTGTACACTTATTAATTATACTGTTGACTTATTACACTACACGTACATCAATCGCTACATCCATTAATAAATATGTATCGGCTCAAAAATAGGTATTACCATATTTTCAAAGTTTAGTTCTGACGTTTACATTCAAACAACTCTCATCATATTTACAAGGGACGCCATATTTACCTTAACAGGGTCGTGTCACTTTTAGAAAGCCCGTACTATATATCTACCCATATACCTCTATTAAATGGTGTTATAAGGGATAATTTTCTTGTTTGTGTTTACTAACAAATATTAAAAGGTTGCTTACATATTTTCTAACAAAGGCTTCAATGAATCCCGTTAAAAAGTTTGTCATTGCAAGTTTTAATTATTATTAAAATTTGAAATTCCCCAATTTTGTATTATTAAAGTAGTTTCATAACTTTGAAACTATTAGTAATTTAGTTAACTTGAAATGTTAAATCCAAGCCTTTAAAAATCACGTTCATTACGACCCATTGTTAAATGTTTCTATTGTTGCATTTCACAATATGCCTCTGATGAGAGTAGACGGAAGCATAGGATGCGTTTTATCTTATTATATTATTTATTTGTATTAATTTTCTAAGAAAACCAAGTTGCTGTTTTACACATAGAAATAAAATTAAAATAACTGCATCCGGCCGTTTTTTATTTCATTGATCCACTAAAATATCCTAAGGTCTTTGGTTCCGTTTTATTTGATGGTTATTGTTTGTATTTCTTTTTCACACACTTTTATAGCACGTTTTATTGTTACAGGTTACGATACAACTAAAGGATGTCAATGACATGGCCCCCGAGTTTGTTACACCCAATACTACAACAGTGTCAGAGAATATTCCACTGAATACCGTCGTAATGACAATAAAAGCCGTTGACAAAGATGAAGGAAGAAATGGATATGTCGAATATTTTATGAATCCAGATCCAGAAATCAATGGTTACTTTTCTTTAGGAAATGTTGATGGTATATTACGTGCGACGGGGAAACTTGACAGAGAATTGAAAGCCAGCTATACAATTATTGTCACTGCTAAGGATAGAGGCGATCCACCTAATGTTACAAAGTCCAAAATTAAAATAAATATTTTGGATGAAAATGATAACAGTCCAGTGTTTGATCCAAAGCAATACAGTGCTTCTGTACCAGAAAATGCCAGCATTGGAGCCAGCGTCTTACAAGTATGTAATCAATTTTATAATAACTATCGTGAGACATACTAAATTAAATAAAAATCGCGGATTACTCACGTGAATATACTGAGGAAACCTCTACTAGTCGGAACTAGTAGAGGTAGAGGAGACCTGAAGGTAAGAACAAGATTTATGAAAGTTAATTTTGGATTGTATGATGTTGAGGATAAAGTTGAAAGTCTATTAAAGAACGATGAGTAAGGGGTAGCCGTCTGTATGTATGTAGGAAAAAGAAAAGTAGACCTTAATGCCTTCGCAATATGGTATGTGGAGTTAGTCGGTTGTGAGTTCAACCCACGGACAAAGGTTGGTTTTCCTTAGAAAAGGGCTTATTTATTTCTGGTATTTAAATTAATTGACCCAAAATCTAAACGTGGCTCTATGATTCGGAGAATCATAGAGGGGTTTTTCCTCATAAGCAGCGTCCGCGGTCGCGGCGATGTCGCGCAGCCTACGCGAAATTAGTACAGTTTTTCTCAGTACTTTCACGTGAGTACGCCGCGATATTTAGTTAGTTAAATATGTAATCTTCTAAATTTCGCCCTCCTATCATCATTAGTACCTACAACATATTTTAAATAATTTAATGTTTAAATTTTACAGGTTTCGGCTACTGATATTGATGAAGGTGCAAACGGAAGAGTCAGATATTCAATTGCTTCAGGCGATGAAAATAGAGATTTCAGTATCAGTGAAGATACCGGTATCGTTAGAGTTGCTAAAAATCTCAACTTTGAAAGAAAGTCCCGTTACTTGCTTACAATAAGAGCCGAGGATTGTGCTAAAGACGATGTCAGATTCGATACGGCTGAATTATCTATTTCAATTCAAGACATAAACGATAACCCACCCACGTTCCTTGATTCACCGTACTTAGCGTACGTAATGGAAAATGTAATTCCACCCAATGGCGGGTACATAATAACAATTCATGCTTATGACGCTGATTCACCTCCATTTAATAATCAAGTCCGCTATTTCATAAAGGAAGGCGATGCGGATCTTTTCAAAATAAACGCTTCGTCTGGGCAAATTTCCTTGTTAAGAACATTAGATCGTGAAGCACAAGATGAATACACCCTTGCACTCGTAGCAATGGATACTGGTAAGTTACATAATCATAATTATTCATATATATAATCATATTACTCTGATAATATTATTAATATAGCAAGCGCTTGAATACAGTACTAGTGCGTAGAATATTAAATATAAAGACATAGGGTAAGCAGAGCTTCCTATGTAATACTCAATTTTTACGTGGTTATTGTAATATACCAGGCACAATTTTTAATTCAGTGCTGCTACAGAGTGAGTATACATGATTACATGCAACAAAAAAATTTCAAATAAAAAACTAATATCTCTCTAACTATTTTATGGGTATTTTTATACTAACGTTGGTGTATTTTTGAATTACAGGATCACCACCTCTTACTGGTTCCGGAACAGTGAAAATTGTGGTACAAGACGTAAATGACAACAGTCCTGATTTTGAAAGACAAAGCTATAGAACCAATGTCAGAGAAAATTTACCTCCTGGAACTGTAATTCTTACTCCAAAAGCTACAGACAAGGATATAGGCAATAATGCTAAAATAAGATACAGTCTTCTTGGAGACAAATCAGAAAGATTTCAAATAGATTCTGCCACGGGTGTTATTTCAACAAATGACACGTTAGACAGAGAAGATTGGGATGTTTACTATCTGATCATAATGGCGCAAGATTCGTCGACCACTGACCCAAGAACGGCTACTGCTAACCTTACTATAATAGTTGAAGATGAAAATGATAATACGCCGACGTTTGCTCATCCGGTTTACGAAGCACACATATCTGATCGAACTGTTAAAGGAGATTTTGTATTCGGTGTAAAAGCTAGTGACAACGATATTGGTCTAAACAAAAAGATTGTGTACGATCTAAAAGGTGAACATCAAAATTTATTTTCAATCAATAGAGAAACGGGAGTGATAAAAGCCAATGAAAATTTGATGAAATATAAAGATAATATAGGATCCACTTTTAATCTATTAATAATAGCGACCGATAGCGGTGTGGTTCCAAAACAGAGCACTGCCGAGTTAATACTTATACCAAAGTCTGTGAAAAATTTCCCAAAGTTCACAGTGACTAATAAATTGACATTCACTTTCTCTGAAGATACTCCAGAAGGCGTTTTAGTAACAAGATTGTCAGCAACATCACCCAAAAAAGGCCCAACTGGATTACTACAATACGGTATTGCAGGTGGTAATGTTGGCGATGCTTTGAGAGTAGAACCAATGAGTGGTGAAGTATTTATTACTGGAAAGGGACTTGACTACGAAACGATGCCTCTATATGAAGTTTGGTTTGAAGTAAGAGATTCTGATAACCCACCCCTAAAATCATTCATTGAAATCGAAATTAAAGTGACAGATGCTAATGACAATCCACCAGTTATTGAAAACGCTTTATACAACGCAACAGTATTAGAAGAAGAATACCCTCCGCAGTTGGTAATAAAAATAGATGCACACGATGACGATTCCAATGAAAATGGTAGAATATCTTTCAAATTAGTTAACGATTACGATGAAACATTTAGGATCGACCCTGAAATTGGAGAAATATACACAAATATTGCACTAGACAGGGAGTCAATCCCATTTTACGAATTAATTGTTGAAGCCGTAGACCATGGAGTTCCGCAACTAATTGGAACTTCCACAGTTATAGTGACCGTCTTAGATAAAAATGATAATCCACCAAGGTTTACTCGACTTTTTAGTGTTAATGTTACAGAGAATGCTGAAATTGGGTCGTTTGTAATTAGAGTTACAAGTTCTGATCTAGACACTGGCCCAAATGCAAACGCAACATACAACTTTGTTGAAAATCCTGGACAGAAATTTGTTATAGATCCAATAAGTGGAAATGTTACAGTTGCAAGACCACTTGACAGAGAATTACAAGATGAATACATTTTGAAAGTAGCAGCAACTGATGGGGCTTGGCGTTCAGAAACACCATTGACTATCACAATACAAGATCAAAATGATAACGCACCTGAGTTCGAGTATTCATTCTACAGTTTCAATTTCCCAGAACTACAGCAAAAGAATAGTTTTGTTGGTCAGGTTATTGCTACTGATAGAGATAAACAAGGGCCTAACTCAATAATATCGTACTCACTTCAACAGCCATCTGATTTATTCTCAATAGATCCAGCTACAGGAGAGATACTTAGTAAATTTAAAATGAACTATAAAAGAACATCAGTCAATTCTTCTCCAGAAAATACATATTCCGTTATCGTTGTCGCAACTGACAATGGAAAACCGCCTATGTCGTCAGAGTGTTTGGTTACAATAAATGTAGTGGACGCTAATAATAACGCTCCTAAATTCAAAGACCACGAAAAGTTTGTACCAGTGCCAAAAGATGCTACATCTGGAGAAAAGGTTATCAAATTAACAGCCGAAGATAATATGGATTTCGGAATAAATGCTGAAGTTGAATACTTTATATCAGGTGGTAATGGTACTGCATATCTTAAAATAGATAAGAAAAGTGGTTGGATTATTGTAAGCAAACAATTTTACTATCTCGGTCAATATTATGAACTAAAAGTAAAAGCCGTAGACCGTGGTGTTCCTCCACAATCTGATGAAACAACAGTAATATTTGTTGTAACTGGTGAAAACATTTACAGTCCTAAATTTACAGCTCTGAGCTACCAAGTGATAGTGCCCGAAAACGAACCAGTGGGTGCTTCTATTTTGACGGTTAAAGCAAGCGATGAAGACGAAGGACCTAATGGAATAGTTAGATATTCAATATCTTCTGGAAATGCAGGAGAAGAATTCCAAATCCATCCCATATCTGGAGCTATAAGCATATTACGTCCTCTCGACTTTGATACGATCCAAGAATATAGACTAAACATTACTGCAAAAGATCTTGGTTTCAAATCCAAAGAAGCTGTAGCAACGCTAACAATTATTTTGACTGACATCAATGATAATGCTCCACAATTTAATCAGACAAAATACGTTGCATATTTACCTGAAAATTCACCTGTGAACAGTTTTATATACAAAGTTACAGCAATTGATATCGATTCACCGAAGAACGCTATTATAAAATATTTCATAAATAATGATATGGCTTCGCTTTTCCATATAGACGTTAACACTGGAGAAATATTTTCCAAAGAAGTATTCGATTTTGAGGAAAAGCAAATTTACACATTGGAAATAAGGGCTGAGAACCCTGATTCCATAATGCGTAACACGACTCAAGTAATTGTTTACATAACCGGTGTGAACGAATATTATCCTAAATTCAAACAGCCCGTGTTTCATTTCGATGTATCTGAGTCTGCTGAAGTTGGAGCGAATGTTGGTGTTATTCAAGCCACGGACCAAGACAGTGGAGATGATGGCATTATCTTCTATTTATTTGTAGGCTCCAGTAACGACAAGGGCTTTAGTATCAATTCACAAACTGGTGTTATTCGTGTGGCTCGTTATTTGGACAGAGAAACGCAAAATCGAGTAGTACTAACTGTGCTTGCAAAAAATTCTGGCGGCATCCGTGGAAATGATACTGATGAAGCACAAGTCATTATATCTATTCAAGATGGAAATGATCCACCTGAATTTTTGCGTCATTACTACGAGGCAACTGTATCTGAGGGTGCTAGTATAGGTCAAGAAGTGATTCAAGTAAAAGCAGTTGACAAAGACGTGCGCCCCCAAAATAATCAATTTAGTTTCTCCATTATTGGTGGCAACACCAATCAGGACTTCAAAATTGATCCACAAACCGGAGAAATTGAAGTGGTTCGTCAGTTAGATAGAGAAACTTTGCCAATTTATACATTGACAGTAGGAGCCATTGATACAGGAGTTCCACCACAGACTGGTACTGCTACTGTAAAAATAACTTTGTCTGACATAAACGATAATGGACCTATATTTGATGTTTCTAGCTTTGAAGGTTCTGTTTATGAAAATGAACCTCCCAACACGAGTATTGCTACACTTTCTGCAAAAGATCCTGATTTGCCACCGAATGGAGCTCCATTCTCATATGCTATAATTGGTGGTAAACATCAAAGCTATGTTAAGGTTCACAAGCATACAGGTGTGCTTTTGACGACAAAGAAAATTGATAGAGAAGAAACACCAACCTTAGAAGTAGTTATACAGATAGAAGATAGTGGTAATCCAGTAATGAAATCAAACTACACAATATTCATAAAAGTGTTGGACAGAAATGACAATCCACCGACACCAAGATCAGCCCACGTAATCGTTTATGCATTTAACAATAAAGTTCCCCGTAGTAAAATAGCTGATGTAAAACCTAATGATCCAGACATTGTAGGAGATTACCGTTGTAAAATTATAAAAGAATCAACATCAGAAAATACCCTGTCACTTCTCAGTATTAGATCAGGATGCAACTTATACACAAATGCTGTTAAACCTGGACAGGGATATTCATTCTCCGTCTCAGGAAATGATGGTGTTCATAGAGACGTTGTTTCTTCCATAAGTGTAGAATACTTTTCGTTTGATAATAATACTGTTGAACAATCTATTACTTTAAGAATACTTAACATGACTGCAGCAGACTTTTTAACGCATTACTACAGAAGTTTATTAGAAACCCTACAAGAAAGCTTGAAAAGCAAAGAAAGTATTTATTTGTACAGCATCAATGAAGTCGATGGTCATTTAGATTTAACTATAGCGACAAAAAGTAATCATACATATGGAAGAGAGAAGTAACAGAAAAGTATCTCAAAGCAAAGGAATTCCAAATTACTAAGTTACTAAAAAGTCAAATAATAGTGGCCTTTTTTCCGTGCGCTTCCCAAAAATGTCAAAACGATGGACTTTGTACAGATGCCATTCGCGTCTTGGATGATACAAAAATAATAGAGAGCCCTTCACTTATCTTATCTTCACCATTAGTCAGACATGAATATACTTGCCACTGCACAGATGGCTTTATTGGTGGTAATTGTGAAAAACGACAAGACCCTTGTTCACCAAACCCATGTCGCTTTGGAGGAGTATGTCGAAAACAGGGTCATGACTTCACTTGCACTTGCCCAGCCCGAAGAGATGGTAAAACTTGTGAGATGGAAAGAGATGATGTATGTAGTAGTAACCCATGCAAAAATGGAGGATCTTGCAAGGAAAGTGCAGATAGAAACTCATTCTTTTGCTTATGCCGACCTGGATATCGAGGAAATCACTGTGAAGCATTAGTTGACTCTTGTCGTCCCAACCCGTGCATGCATGGAGGAATATGCATAAGTTTGAAGCCTGGCTACAAATGCAGTTGTCCAAATGGTCGCTATGGAACACACTGTGAAAGTACAACGTTTGGTTTTGGTGAACTATCGTATATGCAATTCCCATCTCTAGATGCATCAACCAATGATATAACAATAATTTTCGCCACTACAAAACCAGATGCTCTGTTATTATATAATTATGGTGGGCAGACAGGCGGCAGATCTGATTTCATAGCCATTGAGTTATTAGGAGGCAAACCAGTATTTTCATTTGGTGGGGCGAGGACATCAATCACATCAGTCGCCATCATGAATTCAAAGAGGAATCTAGCCGACGGTAACTGGTACAAACTGACAGCGACAAGAAATGGACGAGTGATTTCTTTGAGTATTGCTACATGTACCGATCATGGAGATGTGTGCACAGAATGTGACCCTAGTGACGACTCATGTTACGATGACGATACTGGACAAGCAGGGTACGTATCTATAACAAAAATACGCTATATTTAAACTTTAATTTGAATTACTTTACGATTTTGTAATTAAAATCAAATAACTTAATTAAGATAATAAAACTTTGCTATAAATCTCACATCAAGTTCAGTAATAGTTTTGTACTTTTTTAAAACATTTTTTATTTATTTGCAGAACGCTGAATTTCAACAACGAACCTTTACTCATCGGTGGTCTTCACAAAGCTGATCCCGTGTTAGAGCGTCCTGGACAAATTCATTCCGACGATTTTGTTGGATGTATGCACAGCATTACAATAAATGGTCGCTTACTCAACCTGACTAACCCACTGAAGTCACGAGGTGTAGAACCAAAGTGCGAACGCTCTGAAAAAGGCGCCTGTTTCAAGAAGGATGTTTGTGGTTCAGGGCAGTGCTTGGATAGATGGAAAGCCAATTTATGTCAGTGTAAAGGTAACTTAATTTCTCCAGACTGCAGTGTTTCACTACAATCAATTTCAGTTGCTGAAAATGGTTTTGTAACATACACAATATCGGAAAAACATAGAAGAATGCAATTGTTAGAAACATTCTATGGAGGTAATACTGGGTGGATAAAAAAGAACAGCAAATCTATTGGTAAAGTAATACCTAAAGTAAACAGTCCAGCGAAGAGTTTATCGTTCTTCTTCAGAACACACAGAAAAGATGGTGTCCTATTTTATTCGGCAACTGAGAAATATTATACTGTAATTGAGTTACTAGAAGGAAAAGTTAGTTACACATCCAAACAGAACACCGTTGTAAATATGAGCCAATCAGAGCAAAGCGACGTGTCCGATGGCACCTGGCACAACATCACGCTAGTGTCGGTCGGCAGGAGTATACGTCTGCTTGTTGATAGTAAAAACGTTGGCGAAGAACTTGATGCGGCCGGTGTACATGACTTTTTAGATCCTTACTTGACTGTTATATCAATTGGAGGAGTTAAACCAGAATGGATTACTACAGCCAGTCAAAATAAGTTTGAAGGGTGTTTGGCTAACTTTTCAATAAACAGTGAGCTTCAACCGTTTAGTGGGAACGGAAGTATATTCAAAGAGACCACTCATAGAGGTAAAATTGAATGGTTGTCATAGTGCTTTTGGAGTTGGTGCTACACAAAATCATCCGTTGCGTATCGGCATTACGCTAGTAATAGTGTTCTTCGTAATTCTATTGGTGGCGATTTCAGTATCAATAATCTTTTACCGACTTCGGAAGCAAAAGAAAGAAAAAGGAAATGGGTCTGCTAACAAGAGCAATATTGTACACTCAAAACAAAATGGTGGTCCTGCCATGTTAAATGCGCCAAACCTAATAGCTGGAACAAATGACAGTCTAATGAATAGAAATCTACACAATAATGACACTAGCTTAAATAGTTACATGTCAGAGAATGCCGATATAACACGTAATGTCGGCCATATTGTTGGTCCTGAGTTATTATCGAAGAAATACAAAGACAGAGAAATAATGAATATTGATCCACCAAGACCTCAACGCCCCGATATAATTGAGCGTGAAGTAGTTGGAAAAAGTCCAGCGCTTAGAGAGGATCATCACCCACCTCCACCACCATCAACAAATACGTCACACCACACACACGATCATCCTAGTGGTATGGACCTCAATTCAGAAGTACCAGAACATTACGACCTAGAAAATGCTAGTTCAATAGCACCATCTGACATAGATATTGTTTATCATTATAAAGGTTTTAGAGAAGCAGCAGGTGTTCGCAAATACAAAGCTACCCCACCACCAATCGCTGGCTATCATCATAAGCATCAAACTCCACAACATCGCCACTCGCCTCATCATCAAGTGGATATCCATCTCGTGTACCGCAAGCAGCACAACCTCCTCCTCAGCCAAGACAACATCAAACAACGCCACTTGCACGATTATCTCCCAGCAGTGAACTCAGTCAACAGCCTAGAATATTGACGCTTCATGATATATCTGGTAAACCGCTGCAGAGTGCTTTGTTAGCCACAACTTCAAGTTCTGGAGGTGTTGGTAAAGATGCTCTACACAGTAACAGTGAGAGAAGTTTGAACAGTCCTGTTATGTCACAGCTAAGCGGGCAAAGCTCTTCAGCGGGAAGGAAAACACCTAGTGCACCTCCACAAGTTCCACAAGTGGTGTCTGTTGGCTCTGGCGCAGTGGGACTTACAGCAGAAGAAATAGAAAGAATGAATGCAAGACAGCGCACTTCTAGCTTAGTTTCAACTTTAGATGCCGTGTCAAGTTCAAGCGAAGCGCCTCGAGGAGGAGGTGTCGGTCACCATATGTCGCATAGGCATCATTCACCTCCAGATGACAATAGAAGTTCTACTGGCTCAGATGACGAAAGTGGGAACGACAGCTTTACATGTTCAGAGATAGAATATGACAATAATAGTATAAATGCTGATAAATTAGAAGATGTCAGAAGACAGAATGTTAGTAGCGGTAGCAATCCTAAGAAACCTATATTACCACCACCGTACGAAAGCTTTGATTCCTCATTTCGTGGCTCGCTGAGCACTCTAGTCGCATCTGATGATGATTTAGCTCCACATGTTAGTTCCGCACTTTACCGACAGGCGAATGGTTCCCCGGCGTCGGCAGCACTTGGTTGGGGACCTGCTGCTCTGGACCTGTTTAACTGGGGGCCAAATTTTGAAAGCATGATTGATGTCTTTAAAGATATAGCTGAATTACCAGACTCTGTGAATGGGAGAATGTCTTCCTCTCTAAGACTGCAGAACGGCACCCCAAGCCGTCAGAAGAATACGTTTAATGTTAGTTAGAATGTAAATAGAACTAAATAATTGTTTAAGGTTTTGTAAAATAATTGTTGTGACCTTGTATCAAGGTCTCTATATTTTCTTGCCATATATTGTTTATATGTTTTCGTAATTAATTGTGTGTCTCATAAATGTACCTAATAACAAAAGCAGAGTTTATTGGAAACAAGTATTGTAAATGTACAGATTAATTTCTTATGCAGTACTGACTGATGTATTCATATCAGGTATATTGTGAATTGTTGAAATTAATACATGTGACACACTAGAGTAGACATATAATGAGTGACGGTGTTGTTTATCGTCATTTGGAGCTTGTAATTGAAACCAATGTGTTTTGAAATGACAACTGTAAAGTGAAATGTTGCGTATACTTTTATTACATCCACGTCGGTTCATTACAGCTTCAATGTGAAAAACCTCATTGTAAATAGTGTTTGTAAATACTATTATTTTTAGAGTTATATAATATCTTTCATGTAAATATGAACAGTGAAATATTTTAGGACCAAATCACACAAAATTATTAAGCTCTGACTGAATGGATAATAATGTGTAACCATTTCATGTAAATAATATAAATACGCTTATTTAATGGAATTAAATAAATCCATGTGATAATGTCTGTGTGTACTCATATACATATTTAAATGTTTGTTGTCAGTTTTTCAATATTAGATGATAATGTAAAACGGTCAGAGCGTTACTTTTCCGTTATTGATTGTACCGCCATATTATTTAGTAAAGTGCCAAATGACTTTAAATAATTTTAAATAACTGACTGATTTCATAAATAAAACGTAATTTAAAATAAGTGTTTTTTATTTCAACCTCGTAACACAACAGATAAAGACACATCAGCATGCTTACCTACCTACATGGATTTAAAAATTAAACAAAGAAGGATTACTTAAAATAGTGAAGTTGTAAGGAAGACGTTCCATAGAAGCGATAATTAGTGTAATAATAATATAGCACTTAACAAATACTCTGTAAAAATTTATGACATAAATAAATACACAGACACACCATACAGATACATCGCTATATGTATATAGTATAGACACTATAGTGTCTAATAGAGTATACCCTAGTAGGCCTAACCTCTGTCTACTGTCCTCTGAGTGACTTAGTCTTATTGTAACTTGACGTATGCATGCATTCGTAAATAGTAGTGGACAGCACCTTAAACTACAGTACCTTAAACTGTCAAACACCAAGCGGTCACCGGTGACCGCGACCTATTGTTCTTTAATTGTGTCTATAAAACCGGTACTCGACGAGTTAAGGCGCTGTTCGTTACAAAATTTATTAAACATACTTTTTCTAAAATATCAATCTACAAATATTAGAAATACCTAAACAAGGTGCGAGTAGAAAAACCAGTAGTGTTTTTAAATTCATAAAAATGCTATATAAAAGTTAGTGCTATTTTTAGATACAAATAAAAACAAGGTTGTTTACGGTTCTGGGTGCAAAAGCAAATAGTACCAACGTAAACCAAAAACAACAATGCCCTTAATTCACTATCAGTACACTTTTCAACAGTAATAACGTACTTATAATGAAAACACAGCAAAATACACCAAACGAAGATAAGATGATAATGCATGCTTGTTCCCTTACGACAATTTCAATGTTATTTACATAATAATTTGGAACAGTGAAGCTGAAGAGTTTCCTCTTAGAATCATTTTTTGTAGTTAATTTTTCATTAAACATAATGTGTAATGGCTTAACGAGCAGACGGATAACCTGATGCTAAGCAATTGGCGTCGCCCATACACACCCGGAACACCAGAGGCGTTACACCTGCGTTACCGGCCTTTTGAGGATAAAGAATTTGAGATTTGTTGGAAATTCAGGGATGGGGTAACCTGTAACCTTACTCACACGCGAGTGTTGTTTCACGTCAGTTTTCTGTGAGGCCCTGGTATCACTTCAGGTGAGCCGGCCCGAGTTCGTGCCGAACTATGGCTCTCCCACACTTTGCACAGTTTGCTCGAAGTAACTCAAAACGAAGTACACAAAGGTCTAATTTCATCAGCCACGTACTAATACATCCTTAAATCCATTATTCTACTTAAAGTTATTGATTTCTTTTATGTCAAAGACAACCAATTGTGGTGTTAAGTGGGCTAGTTGATTACAAAGAATTTTATTTGTAGGTAGGTAAGTATGTAACAATTTTAGCGCAATTGCATTTGCATAGAGACTTAAGTTAAAAATAGACTGCCAACAATATTATTATTTGTAGTATATTAGTGACGATATGTCAATATTCATTCTGTAGTGTATAATTGTACGTTAGGGTGTTTGAATTAAAGTTGGTGTTTAACCAACGTGCGTGCGTTCCATTACATAATTTACAGTTTATACCAGTGCTGAAATTGCTCTAAAACTATATGGAAGTCTGCAAAATTGATTGAACAGCGAAGTGTGAAGATCAAATTTAATGAAACAAAAAGTTCTATAGCATGATTGAGGCCGATATAACGTAATAGATCAATTTATAAACATTGACATAATTTCTGGCCATGGTTTATGTACAACCACTGGTGTACAACCGCTTTTTTTTAAGTGGAAAATCGTCGAATGAATCCTCTTACCGAAGTTGAGGCGAGAAAGATTCATAAAAACTACTGTTTCTACTCTGTATCGAGCGTGAGCTCCGGTAACCCTTGCAGTTCTCCACAGGCCCTGTCAAGAGTGTACCAGATCCTGAGGACAATTCCTAGATGCGGTAAAGAACTAGATTTATGTACGAAAATGTACTATCTACTACGATTTTATATTTCTACTTGTCTATAACAAGTAGCTCTACTAAAGATATTGTGCTAAATTTTATGCGTGTATTAAAATATTAATTACCTAGTACACATTGATTAATACTAGTAAAATACATATATATTTTCAGACAAAGAAAGCCAATCACTTTTAGATATACAAAGTTCAATCAACTGTGATAATTTGAATATTAACGCTCATTAATTTAAAACACGTTTTCGTAAGGATTGTTATATTTGTCGTACCTACGTCTACTCCTAGAGATTAAAATCTTAAAAATTACAATATTAAAAATACTCTATCAAAAAAAACCAATAAAGTAATTTTTGCAGGCGATAAAGTTTAACCGGTACACCTTCAGTGATAAGCCCATATCCACGCGATGTTCATAGCGACACAGTTAAGTTTTAACTTGCTGTGGAGTTGACGAAAATTTTGATGCGAACAACTATCCCACGGTTTTTATTGTTTAAATCAGCTGTACGCTCGGTTATGCGTGAAGTTCGGCGGCTCAGTAAGGCACACTGCACAAGGTCTATATAAATGTGTCGGAGAGCCCTTAACGCTAGTTCGCCACTACTAATGTTATCGTCACTATGTTTTACATAGTTTTGTTAATTAACTTCATTTACATACGTGAGTATTGTAATCTAACCAACTCTTCCGACTCATCATTCATGTTTTTCTGTTTCTCTTATTAAATGAGTCATTTCTTATAATAATTCTTTTTAATCATACGGAACTTGTTTTATTAATTTATTACTTAAAATATTCTATTGACTGAAACGCGCGAAATATTGGTCTGCAGAGCGAGTTTCTTCTGAGTGCGACATGGATTTCGGCGAAGTCGCTCTCGGATGATTTTAATGTTCGCAGGCGTCCTCACAGAGCCAAACTTAAAATACCAAACTTAAAATACATTAAGTGCAAACAGTGAATTTGAAGTGATATATAATGATAAATTAATATCAATATTCATTATGTTTTATTTTTATTAAATGACAGTTTATTTAAAATTTATCAGATCAATTAATCTGATGCATGAAATGATAAGAGACACCGAAACTAATTCAGAGGTCATGGTCACTATAATTTATTATCGTTGCTTGATTTCAAAAACTCACTAACATGAAACTTTGGCCGATCTTTGTGAAAGCAACATTCAATAGGCTACACATCTGTGTACTGTGGCTACACAAGAATATTTCTCTTTCTTATAGGTATCTATAAGAAAGAGAAATATTCTTGTAATTAAAACTATTATCTATTAGGAAGGATGCACGTGGTATCGATATTTTGTTATCTGTTAAAAACTAAATAAGGGGGAAAGCTAATTTATGCAGCACATGCTTATCTTTCAGGAAAAACCAATAAAATTAATTAATTTACGCTTTAAAAATGTAACGATTATAAAACTAGTAATCTATATAATTAAAAAAATTGGTTAAGTAAATGATAAGCGAAACGATCGTTCTAGAAAAAAATACTAAAAAACCTACTCGCAAAAGGAAGTTGTTTAGGTTTTTATTCATCTTTAAATTTCGTAAAGCAAATTGGTTAAAAAAATTTTTGTTTAGTCAACCTGATAGCAATATACCAATATTGCACCACCAGGTGCCGAAATACATTTTTATAGCATCCATAACTTATAATGCATAAATAAGTAATATAACATACTGCTACGAAACTGTCGTTAAATTGAATTCAACGTCTCGAATACTCATTTGAACCTCCGCCCCTGACATGAGGGGCGAGGTTCCCCCTTTTTACTTGTAACTAAAAGTTTACAAGTAAAGCCTACTTCTGACTAAGGTTCGAGGTTGGTTTGCATGCGTTTAATTATTCTTATATTTGCATTATATTTAATTATTCTTCTAAACTTTGACTCGAGACCTTAAAACTGTCTTTTTAGAGATACTTAAAGATAAAAATCTTAGTATACCATACCCTAGTATGAACAAAACTAATAAAAGCGTGATAATTATTATACTGGACGGTGTTTGCTTACCTATTAGAAATCTTGGACAGAATACTTGTATACTTTATAAATACTAAGGCTTTTTACAGATGTTTATCCAGTAATAGTAGCTGGTTATGATTGTATAGCACCTCCATTGGAATGTCCTAATGATAATATTACATTTTGGCTCTACACTAAGTGAGTACACTACTATAAACGATTTCGACAAAAAAATCATGTAGGATAATTTCTAATTTCATTTTTACGAGTATATAGGAAAAATGAAGATAAACCGCATCAATTGCTGACTATGGATGCCAAGTCAATAGATGAAGCTCCCTGGGTGAAAGACGCACCGATCAAAATATTAATACACGGATATACAGGCCATAAAAATTTCTCGCCCAATACAGAGATTAGACCAGGTAAACATTTCAAATTATTTTATAAAAGCGTTCAATAAATTATGAGACGGTATCAATGGTCTGATGATGGAAAACGTGACTGCTGGGTTAAAATCTCATTTTCAGTTATCAAGGAAGAAGGATTTGGATTTTGATGACTGTCTTGGTTGAGTGTTCTCAAGTGCGATTGCCGGGCAAGGGGTCTCGGGTTCGATTCCCGGGTCGGGCAAACTACACCTTTAGGTTATTAAAAAAAATTCTCAGTAGTAGCACGGAGTATGGATTTGTGCCCGGTTTAAGCAAAAGGCCCACTATTACAAGCATGTGACTCTCAAGGAGCTGTCCATTAACCACACTAGGGATTAGGTAATGGACAGTAATTTTTTCGTCATTATAAAAAAACACTTTGTAGTGTTTTTGTAAACATCACATATTAATTTATTCAGCCCTTAATTGGTGTTTGAATATTAGAACATTGATTCATTAAAGTCCCACTAATGAGACAATGTAAGTAGAAGTCACAATGTAAGTAAATGTGTACACATTTGATGTCGTGAAAACAGTTTCAAAGTTGACTAAAACATAGATATCTTGTCGTTTAGTCGTTTACACAGACCCATAAAATGTACGTAAAATTGTAACCGTGTCGTGTAACTCGTGCTATTGTATCTATTCTGTGTTTATGAGTACCTACAGTCAAACAAACATTACTGATCTGTTGAATATAAAATCTGTAGATAAAAATTTACGTGTATTTTGCTAAGTAGGTATATGGTTTGCATCATAAACGGAACCGAAACCGGAATTTTTTGGTGTGATTTATAAATACTTTTTACGGGTCTATGTTGTCTATGTGTTATAGAAGGCCCACATGCCGAAGGTATAAAAAAGAGAATAATTGTTACTTGTTGGCATTGTGCACACTTTATCAATTACTTAACAAATTTTCTTGAAACATCTAACATTTGATGTTTATTTGAATTGCCTTTTCTAAATCATATTTCAGCATACATGGAGTGCTGTAACTACAATATAATATCAGTAGACTACAACCCGATAGCTCGGGAGCCATGTTACATCGAAGCAGCAAGGAACACTGAGTTAGTGGGTATGTGTGTTGCTCAGCTGATCGACCAGCTAGTACAAAAACATGGATTCAACCTCGCACAGTTCCATCCAATAGGTTTCAGTCTTGGAGGACAAGTGGCAGGATTTATTGGTGATTATATCAAGTCGGGAAGAATAGAAAGACTGACAGGTAAATTATACTACAATATTTATGTATAGAAATTTTAAATTATGTAAATTACTCTAGAGTAGGTATGTAGATTCTACGACAGCAAATAATTGTTTTGCGCCTGATAAAATTTATTCTTTACTTTCATCCGCACGAATTGTTGTTATTCAGTTAAAGTAGGCACGGAAAACTTAGAGTTTGTTAAATTGAATTCATACATAATACATGTCAATAAGTTTTATCGTAATGAGATAAAAATATTTTTTGTGTATTTTATTTCAGTATCTATATTGCGCTATCAACATATATGCTATAAACATATTGCTATCAATACAAGCATGTGATACAATTAACTGCTTCTCGTAAAATTTTCAAGGGTTCTAATACAACAACAGTAATACATAAATATCTTTTGTCACAGCATTAGACCCAGCAATGCCTCTGTTTGTCACAACTGATCCCAATAAGAAGATTGACAAAGCAGACGCGAAGTTTGTGGATGTCCTTCACACAAATGCACTGGAGAAAGGGAAGCTCGAAGCCAGTGGGCATGTCGACTTCTACGCAAACGGAGGCATCACCCAGCCTGGTTGTAAGTCTACTAAAGACCAAAGTAAGTTTCCTTTTGAACATAACTTGTAATCACCCCTGTGGACATGTTACGCAGCATCCACGGATTCAGTTAAACATTGTTGTAGTTTATAAAATTGGGTATATACTAAATCGGCAGATTTAATGATGGAAAATTAATGAAATAAAACTATAGCGATTAGGTGTCACACATAATTTTTTTAAGAGGAATGCAGAGACTTGGTTTTAAACGACGTTTTGATCAAATTAAACAAGGTATGAAAAATATTAACACTCCGGTTTATTAAATTCTAGCTAAATCAGGCTGCGACCATGCCAGGGCTCCAGTATATTATGCAGAGTCCATAACAACTGACGTAGGATTCTATGCAACCAAGTGCTACTCGTGGATCATATACATGATCGGCTGGTGCGAGATATTCAACCCTAACGAAGAAGTACTCTTCGGAGAATATGTTCCTAGAGAGTAAGTTATTTTAATTGTGACTAAGAGTTACCTAGTCACCTAGACATTATGGGATGACGTGCTTCATCATCGTATCATCGCTTCATCGCTTACCACCAGGTGATATAGTGGTCAAACGTCGACCCAAAAAAAGACAGTAATGTATTTTTCTTTTAATACAACGTAGGAGACTGTAATTATTACTTTCCTAATTTTCAAAACAAAATGAACATTAGTATTAATTTGTTCACCGGTAGATGAACAAAAGAGATCTTTTGTATCAGTAGATGAGCTATCGTTAAAAAAATTAGAGTGTTAAAACGAATCACCTATTAGGAATCATGAAGTGGCAGCAGTTCCTAGACATTGACGTCGTAGTTCCATTTGTAGCATGGGTTAATAATCTTCCTAAGTGAATTCTTAAGACCAACGTGAATTACTTCATTTTACACCTATTTCGTTGCAGTAACTATGCACATTTTGCAAGGATAGCGAGTTGTATATACTTATTACAAAAGAGCTGTTGATAAACCAGGCTGGCATTTGAGAAATCCTGCTTGCTACACGCTAGTCAAGCTTATCTCTGCTTACATCGCTACTTTCTATATATTTAATATTATATTTGTCTATACAATTTAACAAAGAAATATATTTGTATTTTTAAATGAAAATTAACTTACAACAAAAAGAGCCAACACAAAATCTAAATATCATGACTAAATGCTGCAATGCTGATCAACAATGGTAAATATCATTCTCAAACATTTACCTGGTTCTATGATTAGTGCAGGCACCGAAACACTTCCACACTTTCACTGAGAACAGTTTTCCTGTTCTTTAATCCAACTTCCTTCTCGTGATGTCACATAATTATTATTACTTGCATTATGAAATTGACAACCTTAGCTGTACGAAACACGACAGCGTCAACTAGTTCGATGACCTTTTATTTTTTCATTGCCGAAAATAATATTTTTGATACCATAATCGACTAACTGAATGTGAGACTAGAGACGTAATCGTTTTTAAAGTGTTTTTATACGATTGCAAACTTTTCCTTGATCATGTCTCTCAAAAATGCAGTTATAATAGGATCGACTTTCTCACACAAATGCAGAACCTGTCCAGTATTACATCACTTAGAGCAATATAATGGCATTACGCGAAGGTTTGCTCTCTGAGTCAAGGAGTGTTTTATAAATTAAAAGATTTGGACGACGTCAAACTTTCTTTCAGGAACAAATATTTATTTAAGAACATCATATTTGGGAAGGCATGTGTACTCACAATATAATACGGCAAATTATATATGTAGCATATATGTATATCAATTGTGTTAAATAATTTTAATCATAACTCTTTAAATAGATTTTTTTCTTTTTTTCAGTGTGCAGGGTCTATACTTCTTCAGTACAAACTCTGAATCTCCTTACGCGCGCGGCTCTAACAAGAGAGGCAGAAGAAAAAGAAGTTATGATTTAAATTTAGGAGAGTAAATACATCGACTGTTGAATTAATTTTTTGTTTCTTTATTCTACTTGATTATTGCACACATTGTGGTTGGTCATGAAACATGTATTGCCTTCGTCGAAGTTTCACGAGCAAGGCTGACGTGAGGCATTAATAAAGAAGGTGCTTATCGATGCCTAATTCTCGCTAAGTCATAATTATTCTCACAAACTTGACTTTTCAAGAACATGCACTTGAAAGTTTAATGTTAACTACTAACTAGTGTAGTAAGGCAAGGTAACGAATGTAGTCACTTATTTCTTCCGTGTTTCATGAATCTTGATAACCTTACACTTACCTAATCCTACGTTTATGTAAGTAAACATCTAAATTCATTTAAACAACTTGTATTAAGAGGTGGTCTAGGTTGCAAGTTGCTTAATATCAGCTCTGTACCAGTATCAACTAATCTGATATCCGTGAGTGTATGCTCCACATAAAGACCTGCGTAAAAGGTGGCATGGGTCAGTTTTCCTTGTTTTGTGTCCGTGTAATAAAACAAGACGGTCCAAAATGTAGTGAATGGACGTCTCATAGTAGGTTACGTTATACTCGCAGAACATTCGAGAATCACTCCGATGTCATAATGACATTTTCGTATTACACCCAGTATGAAGTAATAGGAGGCAGTTCCAAACCACATACAAAAATTGTTATTTTATTTTGCACAGTGTCTGTAGTAGATTACTGTCCTATTATTTTATTTAAGACATAAGTATTATTACGTGTATTGTTATATTAGATAATTATTATTCCACACTACACAATCAATAAGAACGATAATAATTTACTTCTAACTGAGTCGGATTTAATCGGCCTATTATTTATAATAATTATGCACTCTTTTGGAACAAAGACTATTACTAGTTAAGGAAACATATACCTATATAGTATAGGTACCCACAAAAATACTTATATTTAAATACTAGCTTCTGCCAGCAGCTTCGCCCGCGGTCCCAGGGGTAAAATGCCTATGTATCACTTCAGACCATAATCTACATCTGTTCCGAATTTTATTCCGGTCCCTTCACTCGTTTTAATATGACTGAGTAACAAACATACACATAAACTCACACATTTTCATTTATAATATCGAGTCAAGCTAATTTCAACCATTGGCCTTTCAGTTACAGCGTAAAGTCTATGAATGAGTATTGTAAACGTTAGAGTAGACAAATACAATCAGAAATCACCGAATTGCTAAGCTATCTGGAGTTTCACGTGTTATTGTGAATCAACCATAAAATATAGACATATGCTGTCGAGGAATATTTTTTATATAATTTTAAGGAGAATATTTCCGTCATACATGATTTCTATGCAGCTTTAACCTATAAGCCTGCACACGCGACGGAAGTTTAGAAAATGGAGTAACTTCTCCCGTTTTCCCAATATTTCCCTTCACTGCTCTGCTCCTATTGATCGTAGCGTAATGAAAAGTATACTATAACCTGCCCAAGAGTATGAAGAATAATTGTGCCAAATTTCGTTAAAATCCATCGAGTAGTTTTTGTTTCCATAACGAACATACAGACAGACAGACAGACAGACAAAAATTTTACTGATTGCATTTTTGGCATCAGTAGCGATCCCTAACCACCCCTTGATAGTTATTTTTTAAATATATTTTATGTACAGAATTTACCTCTCTACAGATTTATTATAAGTATAGATTGCCAAACGTTCCTACCGGACAGACAAATATTGGTAATGATAGAGCAGACAAGCGGACATTCGTATGGGCTTTCCCCACATCCTTGTTGCTATCCTCGATAGTTGATTGCGAAACACAGCAGCATTCGTTGCATCCATGGCCTTATTTAATCGCCATCCGCAAATTGGGCAACGCCCCCGACGGTGTGGGTTACGTACCACTGTGCACTGTGCTTCTTATAGATATTGCTGTAAGCTATAAAGTTACTATGTTGAAATTTTAAAGCTATCAACTTTGACGACTGGAAGAATCAGCTTTTACACGATACTCATTGCAGATCTCTTTTTTGATTTGAATTATTTCATAATAATACACTGTACCTCATGGTACAGGAAGAATGAACGTCGAGAAGAGACAGGTACTACAGTGCCCGTAATTAAAATACAATTAATTAATGAAACAAAGTTATATCGCAACTATGCGCAATGTAGATTACAATGTAATAATCAATTCCTGCTACTATTTGCAACACATTTTGTTATTATAAACCGAGTATACTATACTATATTTACAAGCCCGTTTCCATTGTACTTAGGTGCAATTGTTATTTAGTTCTCACGTGTAAGTAATAAAAATATTTAATGGGCAGATGATAGAAACGAAGGATATTTACCTCTTACTATTATAACTTCTGAGATTATATTACCTGTGTATAGAATTTTTTATACTTGATCAGTGTTTGGCCACTAACTCGCCTGGTGGTAGACAATGATGTGGCCCACCTACCCGTGAACAACCTATTCACTTGAGACTTGAACACACCCAGGTTCTACATTTCTGGAAACACAGACTCCAGCAAGGAATTCTACCCCGTAGCGGTTCGGACATTATCAGTTTCGAGAATCTAACCTGAGACCACTGACTCGATAGTCACGTTAACGACCACTTAACAAATGAGGTAACCATGAACTCTAATAGACTCATCAGCGAAATGTCATTCCCTAAAATATTATTTCTACATTTGACTTACACAATACACACATCGCACCCTGACCCGGAACAACAAGCCTGGTACATCATTCAAACTGTTCTTCATCAACCCATGAACCAACCATTGCTTCAAACAGCAAGTCATCTAAAAATAAAGCCATGTAATACAACAATATACGAGATTGTCGACATTTAAGTACATAACTCGTAATTTATCTTCGATCAATAATGTCGCTAAGTCACGATCATGCTTGCAGTTGAGTAATGAGTATACCACAATAAGTGCACAGGTTACGGTGTCAATGTATAGGTACATACTTAGGTACTGTCTCTATTGTGGCCTAACCGTGAGGCAATCTTTAGCTCATCCTTATTGTTCCTAGGTACTTGTACAACACACGTACCACACTGAAAAACTAGTACGATGTTACATTTTATGTACTATGTTTAGTGTGACTTCAAATAAAATTACGCTTACACTCCTTTACTCATGATATAGATGGTATTTTTATGTCATTTAGAACTGTACTTCATTCAGCATAGCGCAACAAAACGCCTTTTAATATTCCTGGAATATCGCCTGGGAATTTCAAAGTCTCCTGCACAAGCGATTGAGAGATTACAGTAAGTCATCTATAGTCTATGCTTTTGGTAAACTATAACAATCGACAACCGGGTTAACTTTATTATTATTTAACGTCTTATATCAAATATGTATATAAACACCCAAGTAGTCTCATTTATAATAAACTACATAAATTATGCAATATTTGGTTTTCATTGGAATTCTCAGAAGTCATTCTGGTTTATGTAACCAAATGACTTTTTATTGAGAGCAGAAATATTTGGACTAAACTCTGTTTTTAAAAACTATGTTTGTATGTCTATGAATTTAATATACTCGACATATATGACGATAGATAATATGATATATTATTTAGTTTAATGTGAATGAATGAAAGAAATGAATGAAATGTACGTGTAACACGTACATTTTAAACATAGTCACAAATTCGATACCAAAAATTTTTTCGATATTTATTTTTATAACAAAAGCAAGAAATTCAACTAATTTTTAACAATAAAGAAATAAACAATACAAACGTACTTGAATCAATCGGCATCTTGCCGAATTCGCAGGCTTCTTATGCAAAAAGGGGGGAAGTCAGGTGCGAGCGAGGGTCAACATCATGCAAGCACTTTCGCTTGATCAGTACCCGTACGGAATACGCACGTGGCACACGCATTTATAGCAACCACTAAAAATATTTATTTAATAAAATTAACAGTGCTAGCTACTTACTAAAGAAACCATTAGACGTAAATATTCATTGTGATATATTTTCTGTGATTTTGAATTAAATTTTTCATACAAACGTAGTGTATTTTTTGTAAACAAACTGTTGTTTACATTGTATTTATGAAAATTATTAAACATAAAAATGGTAACTAGTGCGCAGTGGTTAATTTTAGTTGGAATAACTGCGTTACAAATATCAGGTGAGTTAAAAAATGTATATTATTTTTTATTGAAAAAATAAGCACATCAATTTTAATAAGTTATGCTACAGTAAATTAATGCAAACTGAGACGCTACAACAACAACAAAATATGATTAATAATTGTAGTACTCATCTAAATATAGTACCTACAATGTTTATATGCCTTAACAGTTATTTTGGTCAGGGCTATAGTTAATCTTCAAGACTTACCATTAAATCCTTACATATTATTCACATATGAGCACCAATAAAATCCTAAAGAGCCTTTAGTAAAATTAACAAAGGATTCCAAGGTTTTTATTATAAAAAGGGCCGTACATAAGTATTAAAATATTTCAGTAATTAACCATTGCTTACGAGATATTTTCTGTGCGTAATAAAGATACTGATAAATAATAAAATAGATCATCCTTAGCCTTACCCAAAATCTTTTAAAAGCTATTTACATTTCAAGTAAGTTTCATAATATGAGATTCTGTGAAGATTCGCGAACAACTGCAATACATAATACTAAGGCAATGCACCGCGACGTAACCTATAACTGATAATACACTCATTGCGTAACGACGTTAAGTTTGTTTTGCTATACCCAGCTGATCAGCTTCTTCGTCCGCGTGCAGATGTTGTACGGCTCACGAAATGATGAGACTGTCGCAGTGCTCTTATTACTTAGTACTGAAAACAATTAGGTGCAAATATTTTTATTACAAACAAATATCAACGTATCACGGGTCAGTCCCCAATTCCCTATGATACATAAGAATCCTAGTTTTAGATTTAGCAAACAATCTGTAATTTAGCTTTTAGACCATTTTTTGTGAAGTTTTACAAAAATAACAGAATTATAGAATTTAAATTTTTTATACACACACATATTATATGATTGTTGAATTCGCTATCAAATGTTATTTTTTAATTGTGTACAAAAATCCTAAAGGTTCCTACCATTTCCTATTGCAATCATGTAATATTTATTTTCTTTCCATAAACAAACATTTATTCGTACAAATACAACGGACGAATACTCGACAAAAAAGTTTAAAACTCGTGAACCGTGCAGCATGAATCGGAGGTGTGTGCTCTTACAATGGCTACTTCCGAAATGTTACTCGACCGACATTCTCGTTGCATAAGATTGCTCACCCACTCTCGCGCTTACTCAATCCGGTTTGTTTGTCACATTAGTTTGATAAACGGTGTCATATTCATTTCTTTTTTTTTATATTCCATTTCGACGAAAATGAGATGAATTGTTTATGATTGTGTCTCTGTATTTTTATTATATTCTCATTGTCTGACGAAGTAGGTCATATTACAATATTTTGTTTTACTATATAAACGTGAACTTTTTGACAAAGACGATGCTTTGATGAAATTTAATAGACTGCATTGCATTGTAAGTTAGGAATAATTTAATAGGATTTTAAGGTAATTACTGATTAATTGAAACCTGTTCCAGTAATTGTAGCTCAGACTTAACGAATTGCCTGAATATTATTGGATTTAATAGCAATAAAATAATATTTATCAACAGTTGGTGTTAAAGGAGTATGTAATCGTAGAGATCTAATCGATGGATTGTTCTTGTAATCGAACAAGTTTTTCACATACAAATCCTATGTACATAAACGTTCTTGACATATGACCGGCACCCTGTGAGTTGGTGCATTTACAGCACGATATTTTATGAGCACATGGGTCACAGATGTCTTTGGGTCAAGGTCGTACATTGTAAATGATATATGATTACAGCCGTGGAAATTATATGAAGGCTGTCCATTTTGGATAGACGACTTTAAAAGATAACGTAATTGCCACTCGACTGTAAAAGATTACTGTTATTAATTTTATAAGTTGGTTTAGGACAGTGTTGTCTTAGGGCACGACGTAGTAGCGGCGGTAAGTCCAGTTATGGAGGCGTAGATCAGCAGAGGGCATGGTGCCCCAAGCTTCCGGTTGACACAGATCCTTTCCGGACACGGCTGCTTCGGAAAGTACTTGTGTCGTATAGGCCGGGAGCAGACGTCGGCGTGTCATCACTGTAATGACAATTTGGAGGATACGGCGCGGCATACGCTCGAAGAGTGCTCTACATGGGCAGAGCTGCATCGTGAACTCATTACAGTGCTCGGAGGGAATGATCTCTCATTACCGACCGTAGTGCGAGCTATGGTTGACAGTGAGAGTGCATGGGATGGAGTCGCTTCCTTCTGTGAACATGTCATGTTGGCAAAGGAGGCGGCTGAAAGGGAAAGGGAGGCGTCCAGCTCTCTCCCTTCCCGCCATAGACGCGCCGGCCGTCAACGCCGTGAGGCGATAGCTGATCTGCGACCTCCATAGGCGAGACCTGCGGGCGACTGATTAGGGGAGTCAGTCGTCCGCTGTATGGGCTGGAGTAGGCGTTAGCGGTGTGTTCACGCGCGCCACTCGAGGAAGGAAATCGCAGCTTTTGAGGGCTGCTACGTGGTGGGACCTGCCACAATTTAGTGGTAGGTCGAGGCCTGCCGGGTGCGGTGAATCCGCAAGGGCGTCCCGGGTCACGGCCACGAGCAGAGGAGGAACACCGCGGTGGTTTTAGCCGGTAAGAGTCCGGCACACCCCCCCGTCGTCCCCACGGCGTGGGAAGTCCATGAGGATTTCCATCGCGTTATAAAAAAAAAAGGACAGTGTTGTCTTACGTTTTCGTTTTACCAAAAAAACAAAGAGTAGCTTTGAATGTCTAAAAAACATTTTCACAGTTACATGAGAAATTCGAGACAAATTATCAAGGATATATTGTATTCTTTCATAATAATTTTACATCCAATCAAAATGAGTGGTGTGAATTTGAGGAAAATTTTATCAAAACATTTTATTGAGTAAGCTTAGATTATAAAACTGTTGCAATATTAAAATAAACCTTTGGATTGAAAGTAGTTAACTTTGTGAAAAGTGAACAACCTTGAAAGTATCAAGAAGTCATTAATTGATGAACGTTTTAATTTCATAAGCGATTTCTATAAAATTAACATAGTATCTACATTTTTCAAACACATTTGGCGACCTCAAATTGGGTAATTAATTCTATGACCGTGAAATTTGCCATTTCGCAACATTGATTCATGATGTTGTTATAATTGTTATATCATTCTAGTATTTACTTATTAGTTATTTTCATTAACGACCTTGCTGGTCAACTTCTATATTTAATAATAGGTAATTTAAAGTTGTTTTGGGTGATTAATATTTCAATAGACACTTGATTTAATACAAAAATGTATTTTATGAATTGCGGAATATAGATGCCAAGGAAGTAATTTGTAAACTTTTTTCTATACGACAAAGTCTATTAAATATTGGAATTGTGATGCTTAGTTAAAACAAGTCAAACAACGTTGTAAATATTTCTTTATATCATAATATCGAGGATTAAATCGTTTGGTGTCCCCGTGTCCTGATAGTCCATATAGTTGAGTGTTTTCTGCAATAAAAAATGTTAACGCCTCAAATAATTCAAAGTCAAAAATATAATTCCTGACTAAACCAACACGTGTTCACCCTCGACATCGAACTAATGTCCACCTCAATCTACCAGTAGAAGGTTCAACTTACACGCAATCAGAATAATAAGTCAGGCATTTCAAAACTAGTTAATTCATGCAAACTACCACCGGAATATCTAAGCGTGCGGTCCGAAATACCATCGGGACATTTTATTACTACAATCTACGGACATGCTAAATATATGTAGGTAAATGGCAAGACATCCTATCTGCTAATTGTGATAATAGAGGTCATTCATGATTAGGCAAGATAAGTGACGATGACCTTAGGATGTAATGTGGATGGATGTTGTTCTGCAACATCCGATATATGGCGACAAATGTTTATGATGGATGTTGCGAAAGAAATCGTGGATGTTATGACCAGACTTATTACATTAGCCGCAGGTCGACCATGCGTGCATTCCATTTACGCAATTTATTCATCAGCACTAACACTTAACTGTTACTAACGTTTTGTACTCAGTAAAATTCTCGTACAACCTGTTCAATAGGGATTGCGACAATGTTATAATTACTTATAAGTTAATTATATCAAAGTTCTACGCGCCCTTCAGGGTCTCTTAAACTCAAGAACTGGAATAACAAGCAATGATATCTATACGTTTAACTATCCTAGTATTCATAGGGAAATAGGCTCAAATGATATGAGATTCAACAAAAAGACAATGGCGGGAGTGACCTCTTCCAGACAAACTCAAAAAGCCAGGGGTTATTAAACTCTACTCTAGGCTCCAACTCTACTCATTTCATATTAACAAAAGTCTTAAACGCAGCTACTCAGCTACATGGCCAAGAAGCACCGACTTACATTGTTGCACTCCTTACGAGACTTCACATGCCACCAATGTAAACTAACCTCCTGTGCTTCACTAATTGAAGGGAGTTACAGCTAGAGGTTAATTGGTTACACATGAGTCACAGTGCGATAGGTTACAAGCGTTGCGACGCTTTCACTGTTCAATCGATTCACTTGTACTTTCCACGAAGTCATCGAGCCATTGATGTGAACTCGTAATCTAGTTCATTATGATTATGTAATCTGTGGTGCACTTACCTTTCGCAATCGTCGTATTTCTTACTGGCCATGCAGACAAGTTTTGTTGAAAATCAATAAAATTTATATTACGAGTTAGTGAATTGACTATTTATTAATAAAAATAAATTCTCACGTATGACATAATCACGTGTTTATTTACCATAGGTATAGGTACTAAAGATTGTACTAAAGATTTGTAGTTTCCTTAATCAGACCCTTGGTAATTACTGTACGGGCTTTCTTAAACGCCTATTAAGTTAGTCGATTTTGTTAAACTTTTGGTGCATGCCCATTTTTACTGACATTGTAGTGTTGTAAGTTATACTATATAAAACTTGAAAAAAAAAATTACAGTCTCTAAGTATACAATCAATGTAAAGTGTTTGACAGTATGTCATTACAATTTAAATTAGATACAAACAATTACGAAAGACGGCGACTATATCAACGTGAAGGTTACTTAAAATATCATAGAATTACTACTCCACAAGGAATTACTGTTATTACATATTTATGAAAACACATACAATTTTCGAACAAGGTGACACTTTCGTTCACAAATAAATGTTATTTACATATTTACTTAATGCGTGATAGTACCTAATCTAGTCCATAGACCTCCTATTGCCTTCGCAATGTCTTTGAAGGTAATTTGAGTTGCATTCCGCAGTTGTCGTTCGACGATAAGAACGTAATTAGCTTGAAATCGCAACACTTGGCAGGCTAGGTAAAAACTACATTTTGTAATTGTGCTTCACAATATATTATTGCGTAGATTAAGAAAAACGTAGTGCGCATACCAACCGGAACCATGTTACCTACGTACATACATGATACTTTCCTGATGTAACTAGTGCTAATGGATGGATCATAACATTACTAAAAGTCTGGAATATGGTCTTTATTACTATACAATTCATATAACTATTTTCGTTTTATTGTTTGGAATTTCTTTTCTCTATACCTGCTAACTATCATATAGATTACAAAACTAAAAATTAACTTTTTTAATGTATAATAAAAAAAATAAAGCTTTTTAATGTATAATATAAAAAGTTTTGTTTGAGTAATAATGACGACAGAGAGAGAGAGTGAAACGGGACAAGAAAAAATAATCTTTTTTATACAGATTGATCAAACGAAATTATTGTAAATTATACTTTGCTTTCTTTCTTTCTTTGCGTTAATCTATACCTTTATAAAGTACCTATTTATATATATCGCATCGCTTTTTCTCTATCACTTGATAAAACCCTCCTTGAATACTTAACCTTTTTTTACAAAAGTTGCCTTCGTCAAGTTAGAAATTAATATTAATTTTATAGGTTCTCAAAACAAGGTCACACGAATGCTAAAATATTACGTTTACTAAATGTTGCCACACAGCCGAAATATTGGCAGATATTTATGTCCGGTTTATTGTGATAATAACTATAATTTATATGCTTTTGGTATTTTTTGTTTGCACACTATCATCGTAGTATTCGACGTAAACAAATTCACCCACTTTTAACCACTAACAGCCTCCTCCTTCCTCCTAATTTATTTTTACGGCGTAAGAAACGAAATGTAGGTAATTGAGGCAGCTACCTATACCTATTCTTAGATCTAGGTACGTATTAGTAATCGAAGACGAAGCTTAATTCTTAGAAGTTGCTAAGAAAGCAAACATCACTAAAAAAAACTATGGAACCTATTCCGAAACCGTTAGCGAAACTGTCGACAATTGACGCTTTGTTCTACTCGAAATAACTTAAAACATATTCACGTATTACATAAATCTTTTGTTCTTCTCTCATGTCTCAATATAAACACGAAAATAAGCATGAAATTGACACAATAGCACAATATGTGACAACGTAAGAAAATGTAAGGAACCATTTTGCGAATTAGAATTGTACGCCACAATCAGACCGTGTCATGCGCCGCGTCTTCGCTGGCAAACGCACTTCGTAACGACCTTCACAAATATGTAATTTACCTTCACTATTATCAGTAAAACTATTTTCTTTTTAACGAGAACTGGAAGATGTCATTATAATGTCAATCTTTCTTGTTTAATTGTGAGGAACCGATTTAGGTACTGGAAAGGAAATAACTTGACTTGATCTGATGTTATACAGTACTTGAAGTTGATGTTGGTTTGAAGTTATGTAGTCATTAAAAAAAACTAAAAGCTTGTATTACAAAACTGATTACTTGAATTATCTTAATTATGATTATTGGACATAATGAAAAGGCGAGTGAATACGAGCCACGCGTGAGTGGAAATTTAGTTACATTTAGTATAAGTTTATTTTAGCAAATATTAATGCTAACATTTTAAATATTTAGCATTTATTTATTAACAAATATTTCTCAACAAAAACGTTTCTTGTTTCAGTATCTAAGAGTCAAGAGGAGCGTCCTCAAGAGAAGAAGCCGCAATCAGTTAGAGATCTCCTAAATACAACATCATGTATACAACCGCCATATCGGTGTCCACATCCCAAGATGCAGTTTTATTTATATACCAGGTAATTCAATAAATCGCATCAATTTTGTTCAATCCGGTGTAGATAAAGCTCATGCACTACTAGTAAGTAGGGGTAATGACATTTTATGTAGTCTACTTTGTTTCAATAGGCACCAACTGCACGTAAGAAGTTTTTATTCCTTATATAAGACAGGCCGTGCTTGTCAAAATGTAAAAAAAACCATTTACTATAAAAAATATAAATAAAAAAATAGTATATGGCATCTGAATTTTTTGACTAATTGTGGCCAGTTCCATTTGCATTTATAATTTAAAATCCAAAAAGGTCCCACTAACTTTTTGATACGACCGGCCGCAATCGTCAAAATAAAATTTGAAAAGCCATTATCAACGCAGAAAAATAATAATAAAAAAATATTCTAATGGCGTCCAACTATTTTCACCTGACAATGACCAGTTATATTTAACAAACCAAAAAGTTCGATAAAAACTTAAAAAAAAAACATGTGTGTCATAAATAAGCATAATAACAAACATTATTTGTACAAATAGTATGTTATGTATATTTTCAGAACAACTCAAGAAAAGGGTGAACTAATTAATACTCTCGACAATGACTCTTTAACGTACTCTAAGTTCAACACGAAGCATCCAACGAAGGTTGTAGTGCACGGTTTCGGAGGAGGGCGGAACCTCTCTCCGAGTACAGACATGAGGAAGGCATATTTTACCAGAGGAAACTACAATATCATCATTGTGGACTACGGGTCACTTGTAAAGGAACCATGCCTTAGTCAGGTTTGTATTCGATTTAATACATATTTTATTGTAATCATCAATAAACATCGATTGACTTAAAATAGCGCACTTTTCGGCTATTCTTATCCCGAATAAATGTCAATATTTATTTTTAAACTCGTTTAACTTGTGAACACGATTTATACGTGCAATTTTAAATATTAAAATTAACCTACAATACAGGAAATATTGTAAGTGAAGGGGCAGTTCTTAAAGCGGCTCACACTTGTCTTTGAATAATAAATGTCTTTTTTGTTTCGTTACACCCTAGAAATTTAAAAGTAGGTCATGCGGTAATAACTAACACTGATAAGCACTTACTTCTTTTTGTTTTAAAGAAGTTGGTTAGTTAGCAAAAACAGTAGTTGCATAATAATGTATTGAGACGAGCCGCTTACGATTAGTCACTGAATACTTAAAACCGTGAAGAGGTAATTTATTATTAACGATTTAGAAATATGAATGTTTATGATAGATTATTTTAATAAGCATATTTCGATTTCGAAAAAAAAAATCACACGTCTATATGATAGATGCATTAATTATATTCAAACTTTATTTTTGTTGCTGATTAACTAAGAATTTCAAGGATAAAAAGTGTTTTGTTTTTGGTATTGAATTATTAATATCTACATATAATATTTGGTTCATTTGTTCTCACACCATGTAAAAGTACAATTAATAGAACAAATAATATAATGATTGGCATTATATGAAATGATGTCGCGTGGTAGAGGTTTTGGTCGCTTTGCCACATTTCACTTCGCAAGATTAAATGAGTACAAAACACATAATTATACGAGACAGGAAAATTCCTATAGAACATTTTTACTTTTTTCGTAACAGCGTTAACACTACGCTGTGGTTATGGTACTCTTTAAGAACTTGAGAGGAAAATTACGTAACTAATATGTTGTAATTCTTATAACTTCCAGATTGAGTGGGCTCCTCGATTCGCGAGTCTGTGCATAACTCAGCTGATAGAGTATCTGCAGAACCACCCTGTGAAGTCAGTGCCACCAGAGAAACTCCACACGATCGGGTACAGTGTCGGAGCTCATATACTCGGCCTCGTCGCCAACTATCTACACGAAGGAAAACTTGGCAGAATTACTGGTAAGTTTACAATTCCGTACAATTACTATGTAGGTATATAAGTACTTATATAGTTATTTTACAAAAGTTCTGTAACTCAGCCTTAAATAACGAATTCATAAACATTTTTATTCTAGTTAAATACGGAAATAAAATAAGTAACTTACATAAAATACCCAGTTGGTGCAATCACTAAAATAAGTTTTGTAGTAAGGGCTTATTTACAATAATATGAGTAACTTCAAAAGGAATTGTTTGACATTGAAACTACAAGTTCAGTATTTTTCCACCACTACACATACTACTTTTACTTCGTTTCTCTGATTCATGTAAAATACCTGTTCTGTTTTGAACTTTGGTGTAGAAAAAAATAATTACTAACTAAATAAATACCATTTGGAGTTTTTCATACCAAACTTTAGTTAGTAGGTATTACAGTCCATAATTAAGTCTACTAATATATTAACTGCTAAAAAATAATCTAATACCATTAACTTCTGCAGTGCTTGAGAAAATGTGACATATTAGCATCGTAATATAACAAAAAATAGTACTTTATAAATCTCATTGAAACTCTCCAGGTCTGGACCCGACTATATTCTTCTACATGGGGTCCAATCGGTCCCGAGACCTCGACTACACAGACGCTCACTTTGTGGACATCCTGCACACGGGCGCCGGTATCCTCGGCCAGTGGGGCCCTAATGGACACGCAGACTTCTACGTAAATGGAGGTTCTAGCCAACCTGGATGTGCTCATGACACTATTTTCCGTAAGTATCTTTTCTTTTTATAACAAAAATAGGTATATAATAACCATCAATGTATGTTATTAAATTAAAAATTTGCCAGTTGATGTAATGTATGAATAATACCTTGATACTTATTGTTGTTCCACATTGTACCAATATTATACTACCAGTGAATTCATTATATTATTTCGCGTTTTCGAATTGTCATATATAGGTAGATAAAGCCTTTTAAAGGAATGTAGGCGGCCACATACAATTATTAAATGACTTACTTTTACTTTCTTTCTTGCGCATATTACTTATTCCCACGCACCTGCCCTTTCAGTGACAATAATGAAGTTAATATAATAAAATGTCTTTCTTATACGCCTACTGAATTTATTTATCCCGATATGAATCATAAGACATTATTCGTTGTAATCAATTGCATTGAATTCATAATCAATTCCAAAATAATAAACGCACAAATACGGAACCCTCTTTGATGTGCGCATGGAACTATTTACTTCGTAGCCCTTCAGACGAAGCACCCCTCTGTTCTGAGTAGTTTTAACCACATTAGTTCCGGGAATGACCAGAAGGTGTCGCTTAAAACAGTGACTACGGTGCTCTCTAATAAGTTAGTTGTTCAGTTCGTTAGTTCCACTGCTGTAAAACAGATGGCGCCTTATGGATAATGAATTGAAATATTTTGATTTTTATTTTAAATATTTATCTCCTTTTGCAGAAACTCTTTCGTGTGATCATACAAAAGTGACTCCGTACTTCATAGAGTCTATCAACAGTCGTGCCGGATTCTGGGCGGGACCATGTTCCAGTTTATTCTCATATCTCATCGGGTGGTGTGAGCCTAAGGACACGGAATACGTGCTCATGGGTGAGCACGTTACTCACAAGTAAGTGCTCAGATTTGGAGTAAATCGGTCGGCAATTACGTCATAACGTAGGTTCTGTACAGTAGTACCAGTCGAATGAATTCATAGATTTTTGCTTCAAATTAATGAATATATTTAACTTTGATCTTTACTTTTTTTGCGTATTTAGTCCTGTTCTATTTTTTTAATATACTGGAAGATAGTTACAGTACCTACACAAGTTACTTGATGGCTGACGGCGGATAGGGTCATATATTCAAACCAAATTAATAATTATTTTTATTTCATTGCAGCGCTCGAGGTGTCTACTATGTCACTACAAACGCTAAGCCACCATACGCCAGAGGGTTCCCGGGCAAGTCTAGAAGACTTCGGTCCATCACCCCTTACAGCTGATGAATTGAATATAATACTAGAAAAATGAAACCTTACCAAAATATTTAATAAAATTAAGTAAGTTATTTTTATCGGGGCTCAATAAAGTTTAGCAATCGTGGGGTGGGGTGAATAGAGAACAACAATATCATATAAAGAACTACTAAATTTTTTTAAAATAATTGACTTGTTTCAGACGTTGTTCAGCCACTTTTGGGGTTAAGTTATGCTCACCGACCTAGGTCTGCATGAAATACTTCTTTTAATATATTGAAATTGACAACTCGGTTCGTTATTGTACCTACAAATATAACCGTACCGGTCAAATAAATAAGTATAAAGTTGTAAGAGACGTGTGCAAGAAATATAAAATGGATACTTTAGAACGAAGCGAATACTAATCGCAAGTACTTGTTTTCACCCCATTCCACTATATTTTGTAAAAAATATTAGTGATAGGTAAGTTAATTCATTAAATAAAAAAGGTTTTAGTGCAATTGAAAGCAAAACACAATGCTTTGCGATGAAATAATAAAGTTTTGAACTATTAACTCAGTGTCATTGACGTGGGAAATGCGCAAGTCAGTAGTCAATTACTAAATTAGATGGAAGAAAATTGTGTTTCGTGGTATAAATAGTACTTGAAACAGCGTAAAATAGTCTTAAATTTTCAAAATCCCGCCGAATCAATCAATTGAAAATGGTGAAACATTTTCAACTACACTTTTAAGTTTTACTCGCGCAACTGTTTAGTAAAGTAACTCGACCAGTTACAGGGTTTGATTATGGGTTCCTATCGTAGATCGTAATGGTTACCTCGTCATGGTGTACAAGTAACATTTTCATTAAAATCTACTGATTAGCGTTACTCCCACTATTGTAGTAGTACATAATTAAGTCATCACCGAATATTGTATCTCTGGATATGATTATGTAGTTGCTCAAAATGAGTGTTAATTTATTTAATATTTAAGAAATTTGTGATAATACTGTTATATAGCATTAAACATGGATTTCAAAGGGATAATGAATGATTTTTATTTTCTAAATATAAGTTTAGTAAATTTTTCTAGTGATCCTAGCCTATTAAAGTTACTTATAATTTTTAATACAGTTTACATGGTAATAAAACAACTGTAGATAATTTAAAACATATATTAGGGAAGATAATGTTACCATTTCGAATCGACAAATGGATACAATTTTAACATCAAGCACATTTAATAGAAATAGATGCGTTATATTCTACTGAACTGTGACGAATATAAATCTATTTAACAAATATAATTACGACTGAATGGAATCAGTCGTTCAAATGAGATCAATGACACGTATATAATTCAGTTCTAGTAAAATGACGACAGATGTTAATATCATTTCTAATGCACACGCAAGAAACTACAAACAAAGGCTGTAATTTCATTTGATTAGACAAAGGATTTCCGACTTCATTTTAATTCACATAAGCCTCTAAATATAGCTACACTTTCAAAACAACCTGTAAAAGTACTTTTAAGGAATATTACCTAAAACAGGAATGACAGACATGCAGATTACAAATATTTACATTTTACCCTTACATCACTATCAAAATTGCCAACAATCAAATGTTAATGTCATAGTTTTAAAACCAGTTTTTTTTTAATATTCCCAACTAATAACATCGAAATGAAATATGTTTCATGAATATTGAATAATTAAAAAATATCAATAGAAACTATACAATTAGGCAAATATGTTTAATTCTATCATTTATATAATTACCTAATCACATCAGAGTATAATAAAAATCGTTGTATCATAGGAGTTGTTCAAATACACATGCCCTTCCTTCGAAATTTTGCTGTTCTATCATTTCTATATTTTAATTCTGTAAGACAGATTTATAAAATAAAACAAATACAACTCATTTACAACGCTATTACGCATGAAATAAAGGCATTTTTCGCATACATCCATGCATTTACATATTGAGGTATTGTCACAAAAATTGGAGCTTTTTATATTTGATGGAACACACATCGTGTCGACAAAGTACTATCGTGGAAATGTATGGAGTACCTACCATTGAATGACATCACTATTTGCTATCGCTTCATTCTCTATAGCATCGTATAGAGACATGATTCTCATGCAAACTGAATATCCATCAGTTTTCGCAAAGTATTTGTTCTGAGTAGTCAAGTTAGCGAGATCTGGGTATGTATTTTTTATTTATTGTTAAGTTTATTTATATAAATATTCACAATTGTTAAAGGATCTCACTTTATCCAACTGTAAATATACACCTACATTAATAGCAGTAATGACACTGCATAAATACCAACTTACTAATTTTATTTATTTGTATTTTTGTCTATCATAATCATGTTAATATAATTATTTTTTGTTTTTAATCTTTGGGCATCATTTGATTTTGGAATGCCTACTCTCTAATGTGATTTGACATTTTTCATTGAGAGTGTTAAGAATTAATGTTCAGTTAGATACGGTTTAAATGTAATAATATTTACTTTTTTATATTCTATGGCATTATTTACACACTATATCGATAATAGGCCAGATTGAAACTGAACTTCTGCTTGCGAGCTTGAACTTACGCATGTATAATGAAAAATGAACATTCTATACAATGCAGTGCCGGATGCTACCAAACTGAAAAACTGTTTTTTTTACTACCCAGAACTAAACTGAGTTGGTTATAACTCAGTATACAAGTATACAGTATAAGTATATTAGGTAACTTTAAACTAATATTTGTGTCTCATAAAATATTATATTTTCTGTGAGTTTTCTGTACAAGTAAATTAAGTCCTAATTAACTGTAATCCGGCACTGAATTTTGTAAACCTAACATCGACCAAAATTATCATTTACTTATTTAAATAACGCGACATCTAATAGCGAACCTATAGTAAGGAGATAATTTATTGCAACTATACCCAAAAAGATTTGTAATAAATAAAAAGAAGTAGCAACTTCTATAAAAGTAGAAGCAACTTCTACAAAACCAGTAGCAACCTCTACAAAATAAGTAGCAACCTCTACAAAATAAGTAGCAACCTCTACAAAATAAGTAGCAACCTCTACAAAAATGTAAAAGAAGCGACACAAAGTATTTACAAAGAAATAAGCTTCGTTACTAGCAGGACTTTAAAGCAAATCCTTAAACATGAGCCTAATCAGTAATTGACTTGTGACAGTGCTTCCGTGCAAGTAATACCTTACCTAACTAATACTAACTCTCATACTCAGAAACATCTAATGTTTACTTAAACCATTCCTTACTAATTTTGTTTGAAAATAATTGATAAGGACTGCGCTAAGTAACCACTAAATGACTCTGAGTACAGTGATAAGTTATATAGTCTACCGCCGCCATCTTTAAAACTATCTATGTTACTATACTGAGAGCCTATTTCATAATGCTTTGTTTAAATTTTTGTTAGTCTAAATACCGAATTTGCGAGACAGTTTCTACGTACAGTGTTCAGTGTTCTAAACAGATAAGTCAAAATATATGGTGGCAGTTACACTAACACATTAACAATAATTGAATAAAGTACCTATATTGAACGTAAAATTGTGTAGATTATACATATACCATATCCAAATAAAATTGTATAAAATATTTCCTAAGACAAAGAAATAGTGAAGTGGAAAAGTAATCGTATATCATTATCAAAATATTGCTTGAAAAAAGAAATATGAGATTATATTATTTGTTTTCTTATTATAAAGTGTATAGTATACCTAAATATATATTTATAATTAAGTATTGTCTTAGGTACTTAATATTATTTACAGCTAAGGTTCGCTTTATCAAGCTTTATTGTCACCACAGCCTTACAGAGTGAGATCACCCCATTTTAAAATTATTGTCTTACCATAAGCCTTATTACAAATCTAAAATTATCGTTATTGTACTTTTTTCTAGCCTAACCCAATATTATAAAAGAAACAACATAATAATAATTTAAAATGTACAATGTACATATTTACTAAAATCGATCACAAAAATAATCATATAACTAATCGTTAAAACAGCAGTTACCGAAAATCTTTGTTGCAGTATAAAAGAATGAACTGATTTTTTAATAAAATATAAATAGAATATATGTACATACAATAGGTACATATATAGATCAGTTTAATCTAAATGTCTAATATAATATTGTCGATCACAAACTTTGTATAGTGCGCGCATCAACAAGTGCGTGGGGGACCTGATACCCTTTCCGCCATTGCTTTGGACATTGTGAAAATTATCATTAGAAATATATAATCTACAGGTATGTATGTACAACTTGTATTTTTAAACATTCTTAGAATATTCTATGCACATTCCCCGGCCAACGTACTTTAAATTAACTAAGAGATATCTCTGCATGTGGAGAGTACAAAAATACGTACTTAAGTATTCAAAACATTAAAACGGTGTAGTAGACTATAAGTATGGTAGTACTATTAGTAAATTCGTGATATGCGATTAAATTTTTTGATTTGATAAAGTGCCTAAATTAAAACACATTTAAATAAGAACCAAATACATATTTAAAAGTCGACCTCCTGTTTAATCTTCCTCTGAATTTTACTTTTCATTCGACTATGAACCATTTTAACTGCACATATCGCTAACATAACAGTAGAAGATTTATTTATAAATAGATACAAATCACTACACACACAAGTAAATCCTTTCAAAGTTAGTCAAAGTATTTTTACATCACAGAATTGACGGCGTAGAGATTATTTAAAACAACGACTTTGCTTTATACTATATAATTAAGTCTATCATTTTTATGCATTTAAAAATATTTCAAATGAAATAATCTGATACGAAAATAAATTGAAAATGTTTTATTTTGTTATGGTTTTTTGTTCAAATGGTGTGTCTTTTATTTGCTAACATGTATGATACATTTTTAATGTTTGTTAAAACCTTTTTTAATTTAGTTACCGATGAAAGTGATAATAATGCTCTACGATGTAATGTTGTTAACACGTAACAAAAAATGTTGTTAATATTGAAAGTGGTAATTGGTCATTTACTAGAAACAATGCTTTAATTAATAGAACTGAAAGTATGAATCAGATCCGAGATGATAATTCTCACCCATGTCCAACGAACTAATTCTTACTCCTACGCGAATGTATTTACAGTAGCTTGAATACATGAGTCGTCGCTGACGCTTTTGTCCTCTATATTTACAATTTTATTATTTATACGACTAATACATTGCTTACTTGACATCTATGTTTTACTAGTTCTAATATATATAAGTAAACATATAATTTGAGTTACTTGAAATTTTATGGGATTCAAGTAAGCTACTTTGGGTTGCTACACTTTGCAAAAATATTGGGATTTAAATTAATACGATTTAGCTGCAAGGTTTTTAGCAAAATGTTCACTGCAAATTGTTCAAGTAAATCAATATATCTACGTGTTGTCGCTATTTTCACTTTTAACTAAGATAAATCAATTATCGATATTAAACACACTTTTGTTTATTATTCCAATTTCATTTCATTTCATTAGTAATAATTAAAAAAAAATATCCGGCTTGGCAGAGGCACTACCGTACCACCAAATTCATTTTAACCGTTCTTAAGTCTTTACAAAATATCTTTATGAGATAAATAGATTAGAATAAATAAAATTATATTGCCTTCGCCTTATTCGTTAAGTGCACATTATAACGAGTGATCTTTGGTCTCAGACACCTACAGTCAGATTTATTGTCATCTTTGCTTTTGAGTTAGAATATTGTCCAGCGCAATATATATAATGTTATTGTCCTAAAATCACTTATAATTAAAACTAACGTAACTAAAATGGATTGTGCAGTGAGCAGCGAGATTAATAGAAATAATTTATTCTATATATAAACTACATTTGTTTGTCTGTCTGTCTGTCTGTCCGTCATAATGCTATTCTAACTTATAATATACTAGCGCGATGTTATTGCGCTTTATTTACTTGCACGTGAATCTATACTATATCCTTATTATCCTTTCATTGCCTTAATATGAGCTGTGTACACGCTTTTAAAGAAAATCTCAATTTTACTTAACTAAATACTAATTTATATTAAGACTACTTATTTCATGTTATATATCCTTTATTTATAATGTAGCTTATGTTATTTTGTAAATGTTTATAAATAAAAATAAATAATACATATATGCCTAGACTCATACCTAAATGATTAAAATATCTATAAAGAAGATTAAAAAGAAATTGATCAAAACATTTATAAAAAGAGATAGGTATGAGAAGAAGAAATTGTGATGATATAAATAATAGCTATAGTCTACAAATAAGAAGAGCTGTATGCTTGTATATTCTTTCAATAATAAGAACATACTCGTAATGTCTAACATATTATCACATTATTATTATGTGGTTATACGATTACACCTAACTACCTATTTAAATAATATACAATTATTTATTTATTTTTGTATTTTTTCATATTTTTTAACTTATTACTTGGAAATACATATTGCTTGGAAATCAAATAATTACTCTAACATCAAGCCATACATATTTTTATTTAAATATTTTCTTTATTCGAAGCTCGCTCCAATATATATAGGTACTACTCACAAACACGTTTTATTAAAAATACATGGATGCATCATGTTTAAATACCAATATTTTCATGCGCTATTTCAGGAAGGGAAATGTGTTTCAAACAACCGGCCTAATTCTTCAATCCCCATTTAAACAAATTAAAAGTTAAAATAATTATATTAACTTCCACTCTATTTGTTTTGTATTCACTAATTAATATTTACACGTGGAAAACAAACAGACAAAGTAACAAACACATCAATAAATCCAACGACTAGTTTGCAATCACAACATAATTAATGCAAAATTATAGATAATATCACAATAAAAGTATCAACAAGAATGATTACATTTCTTCCCTTTATAGTATTAACATTTATTTCAATGTCTACTCCTATGATACATAATTATACATTTACGCATCCAATTAAATAGGTACAATTCTAAATTTGAACAATTTAATTATTTCGTAAATATTTATAAACATTTTATAACAGTTTTATGAAACTTAGATAACAAGGACTAGAAATGTTATAGTAACCATAATTTATTAAGTACGATATCATGGCGCGAAACTAAGTGTAAATTGATTACTAAGCTAAACCATTCAGTAACAAATTTAAATATGTCTACTGTGATATGCCAATATAAGGTATATACACCTGTACACGTACAAATGTAAATCAAACAGGTACATGAGAGGATGCAGATAGACGTAAACCGAAACGAGACATGTAGCTAGAAGCTCAGAGTTGTGACAACTTTATATGTAACAGAAACACCAAGATCTTTATTTTGTTAAAACCAACCAATTTACGCCTAAACGCTAAACGACGCATTTAACATACAAGCTAACAATGAGAACCATTTATTATAATTTTCCTATAAAAATATGAGCCGCACGACGAGTCGCTATCCCGGGAACTGATGTCACAATTATTATTATTAAGTATTATAATTTATTTACCTATTACCATTAATATGAGAGATTACTATGTTATTGGACCAACATGTCTACATTCCATCTATCTTTATAAAGCGACTCATATGGAGAAATTCGACTATAATCTTAAGTAATTAATACTTTTTCAGGTTTTCACAAAATTTTTCCTAATTTATAAAGTGTTGTATGTCGCAGTATAAAGGTAAGAGTGAATTAAAAGATGTGTCGTCCAACAGAATTGGATCTCTACTCAACATAGTGCTGTTCTTGTGCGGTAGGTCCATCGTAGTAGTCGTGCGCTGGTGGCTGGATGGGTTCAGCTTGGTATAGCGCACCCGACACGAAGGGGTTGTTGGGCACATGCGCTCCAGGCGCCGGGGGTCGTGGAGGCGCTATTGCTCCATACCCAGCTTGATCAGAACCCTTCAAAGGCGCTGATGGTTTCTCCGTCTTGGAGGAAAAAATATCGTAAGCAATCTCTCCGAATCTTTACAACATAATAAACAGGTAAACTAGAAATACTTACGAATGTTGTTTCATGATCTAAGGACTTCATGGCCTGTGGCTCGTCCACAGCAGTCTCCGCCCATGGTTGCAACTCTCCTGATGCGAAGATTGCGTATATGGTAATGCCAACAAAGTGAACGGTCGCACCCATCAGGAATACTGCACGCCACTCCGTTATGGCTTTTTCCAGTTGATTCTTTAGCAATAAGTTAGTTTAGTGTGAGTGAAGCCTTGATTAATATACGTTTTTCTTATAAGCTACACAAGCTTAGGTAAAATTGATGTAAGTGTAACACTGTTATTCGATTTCATATGTACAACACAACAATATTAGTTACATAAATTATTATGTTTTCGGCTTACTCACGACTGCTGCTACGAGTAGCAGCGCGAAAGTCGCCGCGTCACGGGTCGCGAAATGCTGCTCATGAATATGAGCCTCTAGCATGGCTTGAAACTAGTCGAGTTCCTCGTCAAATTATTACGTGAGTAAGCCGAAAACATAATAATTTATTTAGTATGTCTCACGAAAGTTACAATACAAATATTAGTTACACTCGGAGAGCTGACGAGATATTCAAAGTTTGAGAGTGGCATATCTGTAACAAATATCTGCTAAGTTGGCACACAATGCAATCAGTCGTGCGCGATGTAGCGCGGTGGCGGGCGATAATAAAGTGCTCAGCGATGGAGCCGCGTGACGCATCGTCGCGCACCCACAATCCTACTCATTGTATATTCCGCGCGCGACTCCATGGAGCTCGATTTCCTTTTTTAAATTAGCTACGGACGAATGTCCTTTTTGTTTCGCTAGTTCGCGCCTGAAAGCGATACCGTTCTATTGCATTGGGGGAGGTAGTGCCTACTTCTCAAATAAAAATTCAAGAACAGAAAAATATTTTCTCTTTGAAAACTGATTCGTTTAATAAAACCCCACTTTGAATATACCGCCTTTGACTCAGAGGGAAAAATAAAATTACCTCTTTTATTTTGTTTAGGTGAACCTTACTTTGTTCTTGCATGAAGACAATGAATGTGCTTACCTTTTCTTGCGTCATGTAGTCGATTACTATGGGTACGACAAAACCAGCGATGGTGCCGATGCCGTTGGAGAGCCCCATCAGAATAGAGGCGTATCTTGGAGCGATGTCGAGATGGTTTACGTTGTAGCCTGATATGGCAAAACCACTGCATGCCACGCCTAGGGTCAGTTCTATTGTCGCCACATACTAACAAATAACACGTACATTTTATATATCAATTGAATAAAGTAATTACTTAAAAATTGGTGTCGCATAGAAAATCTTCTTAATTACCTTGTTATTAGCATAGGCGACGAGTACGAAAAAGAATGCCTCCAGTCCAAATCCTCCGCAGTTGAATAGTTTCCTCACAGTAGTTGTGGACATGATGTTGTTCTTACGCAAGTAATCTGCCATCATGCCGCCAATAGGCACCAGTGACGTCATTATTAAATGCGGGATGGCGCCAACAAACCCAGACTATAACGAAGACAATAAGTCACTCAAACTTAGTCTAGTTTGTGACGACAAACATTTGTATTATTCGGTTATAGGATGTTACCTCTGTGATCTGCATGTTGAACCTCGTGTTGAAATAGGACGACTGGAATATGACTAGTAAACAGAAGTTCCACGTTCTGCAGAAGTTCGCTACGATAATAGCGTACACCTACAAATAAAACACAATATTCTAAATATGTATACATTTAGGAAAAGATAAGTGTTTTAAATGATATTTTTAATACAACAAGTTCTTAATGAGACTTAATCATGATAGATCATGTCATGTCTTGTATTTTTTACTCACCGGTGGGGAAGTAGCGAAAGCCTTCCAGGGTGTTGACCAGAAGCCGGGCATGGCAGCCTGAGTGGCAGTGCCGAGTGACTGCTCGATGTACGTCAGCTCTTTGGAAGCGATAGTGGGATGCTTGCTGGGCCTCTCAAATACCAGCCACAGCCATAATACATACCTTAACAATACATTTGACTTAACAACTATCGGTTCAGTAACACCTATGTACATATGAATGCAATAAAGAATTTGAGTTTCAGTTCTTAATCACATGTTTATTGACAGATAAGTTTTGCAAAGTAACGGAAAGTAGGTAATATAATTTAGTAGAAAAGGTTTTTATTTACCAAATAACACCCGACACGCCATAAAAGTAGAATGGCGCCTGCCAGCTGATGTAGTCTGTGAGCAACCCGGACAGTGGCATGCCGATAACAATGCCGGCGTATGTGCCACAGAACGCAAGGGTTGCCAGTCGGGAACGCTCCAATGGGGGTGCCCACATGCGCCAGATACCATGGCATGAGGGATACGTCACACCCTACAAATACAAAACGGAGTCAAAGAGGAAAAATCTTTTTCTTAAGCACAATTTCTGCAGATTTATACTTTCTTTTGAAAACCGTTACATTTATTGAATCTAATAGAAAAGATGGATTAAAGAGTTCTATATTATTATATTATGTCAATGGTTCCAATCTTAAAGATTTAATAGGATAGCAATGGCATTGAAGAATCAACTAAGCCGGGATATGCGGAGACGAGCAAATACGTCGCCATGGCAACGAAGGGCCCGGTAATCCTAAAGAGGCTTTGTACTTCGGTAAGCGATGTCGACTATACTCAAGTGCGATTGACGATAGATACCGATCGTTCTGTAGGCAATCATTGAAAATCGCTCCTTTGAAACTGAAATACGAGGTGTCTGCAATAAATAAATTTTAAATTCTTTTCTACTCCAAAAAATTTTAATGAAATTCCTATTTGCGATTTAAATTTCCTTAGGTAAACATGTTATTGCTTTTATAGTCTTACAGGATAATGATGTCATAAACAAAAAAACTTTTTTCATAATCTAGATTTATTTATACAGGTCGACTACCACATGAAGATAGATCTGACGAAGAAACATTTGTCTAAAAAGTCTAACACCATAACAAATACACATTCAATTTCGGAAAAGTACAAAATGGGGGAGTGTTAAAATCCAAACGTGACGAGTGGGGCATCCGACACGATCGTGGGCTTGTAAATTCGAGCATTAGCAATAAGCTTGATCATGCATCGGCACGTACCGAATGTCAAATGTCTAAAATTTTAAACGTGTGACATTTCACTCGTTACTTGTTTCATGGGGAAACATTGCTCATTACTCAAATATATTATTTTTTGATTTAAGCATTTTTGTACAACAGAATCATTCTGAAATGTTTTTCTCTTTCAAGAGAGGTCGCTTTTTTTAATATACTAATTTATTTTACTACTGCCAGTACTACAGTACAGCCTGCATAATCAAGTACCTAGTTCCTTACCTCGACAAATCCTTGAGCTATTTTCAAGATGACAACAGCTGCAGGTCCCACAGACATCGCGCCAGGTATGGCCATGTTGAAAATAGCTGACATCACAATGGCCGCCCCGAAGATCTTGTTGGCGGGGTACATGGAGGCGAGGAAACCGCCCGGCACTTGAGTGATGAGGTACCCGGCGAAGTACGACGAGTCTATTGAGGACTCCACGCTAACAGTCCATTCGAAAGGAGCTTTGTCTGACGAGTTTTGCTGTTTAAAAAGTAATTCATTATAAATTGTTGATAATTCATAGACTGATATAGGTAGGCAATCCTAAATACTAAGCGATCTGCCGGAATGTTACAGTTCAGTTTTATTTTCAAATCGAATTCATACTCGATATACTTACCTAATCGGAGAGAACGATAGTATTGTGACATTGTGAATATTAAGCTTACAATCTCCATTATATAAAAAAATACACAGGACACAAAATAATAATTTCCCAATTAAGTCAAAGTGACTCACGGCTTGCTTTTCAGTCATCTTGAGCTTCGCCATGCTCATGTTGCATCGCATGCCGAACATGATGCTGAAGCCGAAGCAGGCGAGTAGCGCCACGGTGTAACGGGCGCTCAGGCACGGACATTCCGCCCGCACGTACTTATCTGTCAAAAAGCATTCCATCATAGTGTCGGCTTTTGTGGAAAAAACGTGAACTATGTGAGCTAGTAGTCAGGGCAACGAAATGTTCAATTTGTTAAACCAAATGTCTGCTTTTTGAGTTCGAGTTTACCCAAATAATGTTAAATCATTTCAGTTCATGATGTTACCATATCAGATATGTAGTATACCTATGGGTCGTGGTGGAGGTCGGTCAGGAGATGGTGGTGTTTCCAAATCTTCACCATCGTACATCTGGTCGTAACCCTTCTGATCAACTTGAAAGTTCTCATATTGAGTATTTCTGTAACAAGAAAACAAATATATCAACGTCCATTTCCAATACACGGAAATAAACAAACTGAAAATTAATTAATATGAAACAATATAATACGGATAAAATCTCCGAGCTCCATCATAAAATATTGCGTTCATCGAACACAGGCTTATGGACTTTCAATTACTTAGTTTATTCCGCGTTATTTTGCGCTATTTTCTCAGTAATTGAAGCGGATGGGAAGCGACACACCTCGATGGAGAAAATAAAATTAAAAACGTCTGCCTGCTAATAGGGCTGCCAACATGTAGAATCGCACCTGCGAGCGAATCGAAGCTCACAATGGAAACTAAAATACTTGAAATCATAGTAATATTAATGCCAAGGTTTGTGTGTTTGTTACTCCATGACATCGAAACAGCTGAAGGGATTAACTTGATCAAAATATATTAAGGTCTAGAATAACACCTAAGCCACATTTTATTCCACGGGACCGCGGGTGAAACTACTTATAGAAGTTAGTATTAAACTAAGATGAGCATGACAACTTAAAGCGTTTAAATTAAGAGCAGAAAAATTATTAAAAACTACAGGATTTTATTGAAATCTTTGACAAAAGGAAAGTCTGAAAGTTCTGCAAAACTTGCTTAACTTCGCTTCATGTCAGAGATTCTTCAGTTTCGATTGAACAGTGCAGTACAGTAAATAGGGTGCCGCATTCAATCAGGAGGCCGCACAACTTTTATCTCTATTGAAATTGTTCTTATTCTTCCACAGACCCCTATATAAAAAAAACTAGTAGTAGTGTAAGACCATAATTAAATAAGTCTAAAACTATTATTCTTCATAAAATAGAACAGTAATTGAAAACTTGTCGTTTGTAACTTTGCGCAACCAAACCTTGTATGGATATTAATAAAATTTGCTTGAAATTTTATTACCACAGTATTCCGTTCCCTCCATATACAGTTTCCGTTCCCGAGAACAATGTGAGCAGAGATTTTACCTATGAGCCCTCAACTGGCACGGCTTGCCCATTAGTGGGCAAATTGAATTATCCGCCATTGACGTCGCGTCGCGATTCATTGTTTGCAAGCTGATAGGCTCTACTTTCGAAGGCTCGATTATGGGGCTTTAACAATAAAGCTTGGATTATTGTTTTTAACTATTAACTACAAAAGTATTTGTGTTCAATTCTCACTAATATAATTTTACATTACAGATTGAGTCGTTATTGTAGAAAACAATGAATGTATAGTGTACAATATAAACTTCCACCATATTTTCTCTAATCTCAATTCCATTTAACATGACTCTTCCTAACACGGATGTTTAAAACGCTACGCCGACAACAAAATTCAAAAGCCATTAAATGTAGCGATGAGTATAACGACTTGTGGGCGACAACGGCAGTGCGTAAGTCATCGGCGTGTAAATTCATTTTTCCGCTGACAAAAGTAATAAATGTGGCTATCTGTCCCCGTCCCCCGTTTAACGTTGTTGGTAATGAATCGTCGCATAAAAGGCATAACCAAGTGGAAACGAGGCGCGATGTTTCCCGAGCCGGCCGCCTGCCGCCCGCCTGCCGCCCGCCGCCGCCCGGCCACCGCCACGCTGCCATCACGCCAAGCTCCCCGCGTTAATACGTTTAGCAGTGACTGGACGAGATGCCGACGTCAACAGTTACATTAGACCGACACATCTGCAGCCATGTCGTGCTAATTACACAATTATGTGATTAAACTAAGGGTGAATAAGTGGTTTAGTTAGTGAATTTTTTAAAAGCTTATACCAAAAATGTTTTGTAGACATTCTTTTTTATCTTTTTTTTTCTAGATTAAGAAATATAGTTTCAACTATGTGTGTGTTCACCTTGAGAATGTCTCTTGCTATCGTATTGATATAAAATAGTATTTTAGAACAGGCAAAAAACAAAGCACTTAGTTTGTAAAGTATGTAGTCATTAGTAAAGAAAAATAATAACATATTACGCAAAAGAATAAAAATATGTGATTATAATATCTATAGCCGTACTACAGTAACCCCTATACATCAGCCCCTTGGTAGCGTCGCGCGTCGGCGGCGCTTCATTGTACCACTAATGCACCCATACACTGTCTCTATAATTATGTGACGTAACTCTAAATGGTGTAATTACTGTTTTGTCCCCGTTTGCCTACGTAAACTTAATGGATACAGTCATTTTCAAATTTAAACATGATTTTAGATTCTAGAACAGATAAAATTTACCCAATGCAGATTTTGATTACGGGTTGTAATTTAGTTAAACGTACATTACTTAATCGTAAATAATAGAGTATATTATGCGCTAGTGGTTGAATTCCAGTAGCGAGTTTCGAGAAATAGCGTTTCAAAGTGCAAATTGAGTCAGTGGCCGAGTAGGGAACTCGGACAGCGATTCACTTGCCAGTTAAACTTCTAAGCCAACTTTGTCATTTGGCACTCCTACGTTACTTTCTTGCTGTTGGCTGAAATCCTGAATTATTACTAAAAAGGGTTAACCTTTTGTGTGTCCTTTTCAATGAATAGCTTTTAGATGCTCCGTAAAATTTATTGACCTTTATTTTACTCGACAAATGTTCATAAAATGTAAATAGCAATAAAATAAGGTCGGACATATAGGTTTCTCGAGTTTTCGAAGACAAAACTCCTGGATCAGACGTGAAGAGCAGGGGGAAGACTAGGAGGTGGAGAGTGGGTCGTTGCGTAGATCACAATATGCACTTGAACATTCCCCACTATGAATATCTACAGGCAGGGTGGGACGCGAAGACTTCTTAATTAATTCAGGCTTGAGAGTGCCTGTTTAATTAACGCGAAATATTGTTCACTATTTGAAGATACTGTAAATTGTCCCGAGTAAAAAGTTCACAAATAGATTTGCGAATCCAAATCATTTATTCAAAATCAATCAAAATATAAATTTATTGGTACTAAATTCTAAAATTTATTTGTAACATAATTATTAGTTGGCCGCAATATTTTCTTTTAACGTTAAGTGTATCAATATAAATATAAGTTGTTTGACGCCGGCCCTGCGCAGCGCGCGTGAGGGGGCTGCTATTACACCCCGTAAAGCCACCCTCTCTAATTGATTTACAATTGTCGGTTAAATTTGTTTCCCGACCACCCTCTGTGATCACTGATCGCAAATGCATTTGAAGATACCATTGAACAGTAAAAACCGAGAAATAATTTTTAAAAATGTACTTTATTAAAAATATATCATTTAAACAATCTATTTAGTTTATATTCCAAAATACCACGTCAAATGTTAATCTCAGTGATGCTGACAAGGCCGCTAGTTTAAATTAATATCTAAATAAGTATTTTGTTATTTATTTGGTTAAACCCGATGCTACGAGTTTTCGTAGCACTGCTACGAGACCGTAGCCACAATTCGTTCAAAGCTACAAATACGTATTCAAACAAAAATAATGAGATATTAGAGTAACGCAGTGTACTAGTTTGTAGGGCAGCCTGTGAACGATCCGAAACAGCGGCCAGATGGTGAATAAAACATGTAATAAATAAATGTAACCAATGTAACGTAACGACCTATTACAGTTACGCGCACTTCGGTACCTCTACGCATTTATTGAATGGGATGTAACAAACTTTACTGCATTAAGTACTAGTGGTTGTAATTATTTTAAATATATTACTCTTAATAACTTTAAAATAAATTAGAAGAAAACCATGATGCATGTAAAGATCTTATCAAATCCAGTACAAACATTAAGGTGTTTATACATTATACTATCAAACTTTTACTGCACACGCTTGTTGACTAGTAAACGTATTCGTCAGAGCTAGCCTTTTGCGTAAAAGTCTATAAATAAATCAAGTGAATGATCTCGCATTTCGACACTCGCGAACATAATAGAGTTATGACAAAAATGGCGAGCCGAGCTAAGAAATATCACTTGGTAAACCCGAGACGCTTGTTAGCGTCTCCTTGCTTTTATTTATGGCCAGATTTATTTTATGGCCGTTCATGGATCTCGGGGAAATCAAATGAAAAGAGATAGCAGCAAATAAAACAATAATTTCATCGATTTGCGACGCCGAGCTCAATGTTCGGAAAAGTTACTACTCCAAGAAGTTCAACCAGAGTCCGCGACTCTTTGATCTCAAGTTTTTACTTTGTTCTTATTACGTATTCATTCACAATTATTCTTGTTAAATGCTTTGTGTAATCAATAATACACTAGCAGAGCCAACGGTATGTGTTAAATATACTCATTTCATTTTATTCGTATCCGCCTGATTTTCGAATAATAAAATGGCTACAAAATAAGCTAGTCTGATGAACGTGCGCCAGTGATATTTTCTATTTCAAATACAAATTTTATTTTCTCGCAACTCGCAGCGTACAACAAATATCATAAAAATGGAAGGCAAACAAGACAGCTCGTTGTATTTGCTGATATTCGTATTTGGCTGGTAGATTCTTACTCTCTTTGCTGGGGCCTAATCTGTCGGGCGGCGCGTACCTCACGTCCGGGATACGCCTCTGTTGTTTCTTGATTTTTCCGTCCATTTCAATGTTTTTTTCATTTTGTTAATGTAGCGTTCTAGATATTTTTGGTGGGCTTAGAACAAACATATTATTTAAATTGATTATAAATACTTATACATGGTTGTAATAATGTATGCTACAACATTATTCGCCTTCAAAAAAACAAGTAGGTAATACAAACAACAGTAATACAACGTGTTCAAATAAAATATGTAAAACAAGAAAAGGTCCAGCTATAACGCTCACAGCGGTATCAACTGTAAACTTTATTCGCGCTCACGACGAGGTACAAGTCTGTAAATAAATTGAAGTGAATTCGCAAAGAAGGAAAATCCACACAAATCCCCATCTAATCCTGAGAAAAGCGTTCTCAAATCCAGGTTAGTTGTAAATATCAATTACGCAAATACCCCGGATTAGGAAGTATAATGGTTCGCGAGGATTTCGGGTGTGTTTGTAAGGGGTGAATTTGCACTTCTTGTGT